TGAATTGATAAGGCTGGCCAGTTTAAATGGGTACAACATAATTACAGACCTCTTCTATTCACGAAAAAACTTCATTCGACCGGATGCTCAGGTTAGAAACTTGTTTCAAATGTGAAATTATTTATTATTGGTCTATCATTCAGGTGTCACCACATAAAGGATTTACAGAGGAAGTTTCGTATCTTGACACTCTTTTTCCAAATGGAAGATCATATTGTTTAGGTTCTATGAACTTGGAATGTTGGTATCTTTATACCTTTAGTCGTTCCGATATGAAATTAACAGGACCAGGACACATAACGGATGAGTTCCTCGATGCTGATCCTGATCAGACTATTGAAATTCTTATGCAGAATCTTGATGTAAACGCTATGTCGGTCTTTAATAAAAAGAACACCACAAGCGCATCTGAAGCGACCTCGGTATAAAGTCATTGAGCAATTGTTGTTAAACAATTTAACATTTCTGGTGTTCTTTAGATTTCTGGAATTGATAAGATCTTGCCAAGTATGCATATTGACGATTTTTTGTTTGATCCTTGCGGCTACTCCATGAATGGAATAAATGAAAGGGTAAAACAATACTAAAATAATACATGAAAAATTCTGCCAAATTGATTGATTAGGGAGAAATCGTCCCCATCCTTTCCTGTTAATATATTTAAGAGCTAACACCTTCAAAAGGAAGTGCAGAACTATTTATGCATTTTTAATTATTCTTTTACTGGAAGGAAATATTTATGTACAAATTTATCTTAATTGTTGTTTAACTACAGGGAGAATATATGACGATTCACATCACACCAGAAAATTTATTTTCTTATGTAAGCTTTGAAACTAACGTGGCACTGACAAACTACAGGAACCTTATAAATCAAGTTATCAATACATTCAAGCCGGGAAAGTTTATCGTTACAATTTTTGCAAACAAGGTATGTTCTGGGGGTTCTGGACATCGTTTTTCACCATAGTACGTTGGAGGAACTATGAATTAAAATAAAAAAACTATTTTGTATAATTACAGTGCTCTTTGGCGTATGAGACTATGAAGGAGTTGGAAGTTGAATATTCTAAAGAGTCGCATTGGAAACGAACGGACATGCAATGTTGTAATTTTCCGTCATACAATCTACTTTTTGCACAATATTCTTATAATGGAAAAAATAATTGTAAATGAAATTGTAGTGTACGAGTATATGGATTTAGATGTCTAGGCACTTGTAATGTTAATTTTTTTAATAAATGCAATCGAAAATAATCATTGAAGTTATAGTTATTGTAACGTTATCCTTCTTTATCAGCGGTGGGCTGGCTTTTTCAATTTGGTAACCGTCCAACAACATGATGATGATAATGAGGACACAGCGGAACAAACAGAGGAAAGCGTTTGCCCATTGCAGACTGTCAACCGGTGGTCTGCTTACTCGGAGTAAATGTTAAAGCCGCACTGCCCAGGGCATTATTCGTTAACTCTCTTATCTTTCTAATTTTATTTACTCAGCGCCCACAAATAATAATGTCTGATGATTCTGATTTCTTTTATGCAAAATGTGAATTTTTAACAGATTTAATTTTGAATCGCCTAGTACTCTGAGCCGAAATCAGACATCCTATGTACATATTTGTACTTTTTTTAAAATCAATATCCCACAACTTATTACCAACTTATTATGTAACGACTTGCTTTTTTTTTTATAATTTGTTGCTATTGGGCTTGTTGGCTCCGTATACCAGACCTAGGTTACATTATGATATTTATGTTTTTTCGTGCTGAAATATGCCGGACGAAATCAAACCCAAGTTTAGGCTGGAGTGATGGGCCGACTAGGACTGAATAAGAATTTATTTTGTTGTTCCTTTTCCGGCACACTGATTCAACCAAGCACTGCTCTACACGGTATAATAATACATTTGGGTTAGCATGTTATTCAAATCAACATCCAAAAACTTATATTTCATTGTTTTAATCACGCCGTGCTTCACCTACTCACTAGTCCATAATAAAGTCCGTGAAAGTTGAAGTATTGAAAGCTCGGAAAATTCTCCATGCGATGCGTATATATACATCATACACTGTATCCAAAGCGTTCACAAAATTCGCTGACTTTGGCCACCTCTTTTTGCCACTGTGCGAGGGTCACTCTGTATAATCTGTTATTAATTCCACCTAATTCCTATTAAAGCCACCTGATAATTTGCTGCCACTATACCTAGAGAAGAAGCCAGAACACGGCCAAATGACTGTTTTCTACGCATGTTTCTGAATGTTTTTGTTTCTTAGTTCGCTTTGGTAAAACAAATTTGTCCTTGACTGACGATGAAATTTTGTTGGGGACATTTTATTTGTATTAAAGATTTCAACGCATTCCATTTTATTAAAATCGCGTATTTCTAGAATTCGATTTAATGTAGTCTGTATTTAAGGTATGACTTAATTTATTTTTTCTTAATAGTTTTCTACGTTATCTTAAGTATTATGTGCTTGCAAATGTAATCTTTAGATCCTAATCAACGCATGTTCAGTTAATATCGTAAAATAAATAATTGAACGATTATCAAAGCTACACATTTTTTAAGGGGACAGATCGAAAACGATCATAGGCTAATTTTTGTTTGTTTATATATTTCCAGTATTACTTAAAATTGTAATAATATTTACGCATAGTACTATCATGCCAATAGTTGTCGCGTCTTCTGATATTTTTAGAACCGGTGATTTCCCACTGGCGAACGAGATCTGAAACGGCATCCTCCTTGTCCGCCGCTACGTCCATAGCTCGTGCTGTTGCCACTACTGTAGCGGCTGCCATCGCGGCCTCCACCATAGACGTCACGACGACTGAACCCGTTACTACCGCTATCTCTTCCGCTGTAGCCAGCACCAGAGCGCCCAGAGCTATAACCACGCTCAGCATGTCGGCTACTGGAACCACTCGAACCTCGTACTTGTCTGAATCCACCGTTGCTACTGTTTATGCTGTGTCTACCGAAATCTCCACGACGACCACGTTCACTGGATCCACCACGCCTACTTTGGCGTGGCCGGCCCTTTGAAATTTCCACACGTAATTGGGAGCCCAAAAGTTCCGAGCCGTTCAAAATATCACATGCTTTTTCGGCATCATCCCGATGTTCAAATTCCACAAATGCGAATCCAGGCGGATTGAACGCAATCCAAACAGAATTAAGCTTCCCATACTTGGTAAATTCTCCTTCAAGGTCGTCCTTCTTGACTTTGTCAGTTAAATTACCAACATATACTCTAGTTCCACGTTGATCGGTCATACTTGTCATTGCACAGGTATATTTTATGTTCCTTTATGAAAAATCAATACGTTTTCACAACCCTGCAAACGAGCGTTTGTATGTATATCAATTTTTAAGAGTAACTCCACTACATTCATAATAGGCATGAGAGCACCTATTTGGAACACTGAAAACGAAGAAAAAAAAATTTTTCTTTTAATACCATGGATCAGGGGGCTTCAGTTTTCACTTTTGCGATTCCAACGAAAACGGTATGTTTTCATTTTTTAAGGTAATCCAGCTAACGATAGCTTTCGGCAAACGACTTTTTTTTTTCATTCTCCCATTGCTTATGGTTGACTTTAAATAAACAGTTTCATGGCTTCATTTGAGGTAAAACTACAACGGGAAGTTCGGATGTAAGATGATAATAAGCATATCTGACGAGAGGTTACATATGTTCCATTACGAAATTCAAAATACACCGTCAGTTGTCTAATAGCCTTTTTACAGTTGAGCTACCGGCTGTTCCCACACAGCACACGTATGAGGAACGGCTGGAATATTGGACATATGTGAAAATCTTTTTAATGAGAAAAAAATATTTAAAACAAAATTTGCTTGAACATTTTCTTATATTATGTCTGGGACGTTTTAACGTTTTTCTTGGACATTCAGTTAATTTATTTGATCTTGGATGCTCTCTATTTGCTGATCAAGGTTCGGAAACTTATACACACTGGTATCGAATAAAAACCAGTATGGTTTTCTGTTTGCCAGCGATTTATGATCTCTGTACACTGTTTTTCTTGTGGGTAAGGTACGAATTTTTGTAAACCTTTGGTCGGCACGCAGGCTCTCACACAAAGTAAAAAAACGTTTCATGCTTCTCTACTGTCGCAGCCGACGAGCAATTGTGCATAGCCCATATGAAATTGTTTCTGTGCCGCTCTCTCTGATTCGTTTCGTAAAATGTTTACGTTTTCAAACCAGAAACATTTTCTCGATGGTTTTCGATATCGATAATAAAGTGGCGGACGAATGTTTAAAAAAGGCAACCTTAATATTATAAACCTTGTGTTTATAAATATTTTCTAAAAATATGAACGTCTACACTAATTTTAATTGGTTTTGCATATATTTTACCATCAGCGCAGTTGGCGTGTCAAACCAAGAGGATTATTGTGCAGAGCTTTCTACACAATCATTAAGCCGGATTTTGGGTCAAGCTTTTAATCCTCGCTATATGAGTATAGAGCCGCCAGGAGGATCGCATGATGAAAACCACAATTTGGGATATAAAAGATCGTCATATGATATACCATTTTATGCAGACAGAGATGTCGTTTCATTGGGAAACTTTCCGGCTTGGGAGACGGACCACTTTGCATATTTTGGAAAAAGAGAGGAAACCATAAAAGGCAGGAAGATCCGCATTAGAAGTGCTGCTGTCGAAAGAGGTGGAAGTCCAAAGACTGACGTTTTTAAACACCGCCCGTGGGAGTGCTCATCACAGATTAATTGGATTGATTTGGGACTAAATTATTTTCCGCGTTATATACGTTCGATTGAGTGTATTTCTAGAAAATGTTGGTATGGACACTTTAATTGCAAACCAAAATCGTTTACCGTTAAAGTTCTGCGCCGGAAAAGTGGCTCATGCATTCAAATAAACGATAAATTAGTTTTAATTACCGCGGAAAAATTTAAAAACGATTACACGCAGCTCTGGATTTGGGAGGAAATAGCAGTTAATTTCTGTTGTGAATGTGTTATGCTATACTTATAGCTCTGTTTAATAGAATTCACAATATTTAAATATACAATTTTTAACAAAAGACTTTAATAGCGTTGGGAACAACAGATAGCTTAATAGGCCTTGCATCATATTCCTCTCCGTCAATTGAATATGAATCGTTAGTTGATTCTCCGTTTGGATATAGCTGGATAGTTCGACTTCTCAGTACTAATTGTGGTACAATTGAGCTACATGTAATGCTTGGAATAGTTTTAATAAAATTCCATCCTGGTTGTAATGAGCTTATGAAATTAGTTTCCAGCTCGGAAAAGTCCTCATTGTTTTGAATACAAGTAATGTCAATTTGATTGGCTTCCATCTTTCCGTTCAGCTCATTGCTGCACTCGCTATTTTTAATTAGCTGTTTTTGGCTTTTTACGTTCCGGCGGTTAGAATTAACAAGTTTTCCAAAAAAGGATTGTTTCAGAACTGTGCTCTCATCTTTAGGAATCTCAAAGCAGTCGGCGCATCCTGAGCAAGGAGGCGTGTACACGTAATCAGTCACTAAGCTCCAGTTCTTCGAAAATAATTTGCTAAAGGCAGCCACATAGTGTCTAATTGGACCAAAATACCAATATTTTTCTTTGGTCGAGTCAATATCCTTCAACAGACCCCATGAAAATCCATTTAGTCCGAATATCGGCTTTAACTGTTTCTCACTGTCAGCATCGTCATTAATAACGTCATAACGAATTACACTCTGATACATGAATTCTTCTCTTAGCATTGGTAATAATGCACTACATAACGATTTGATGTAATCCAGCTCACTTTGAACGCTATAATGAAAATATTTATGGAGAGGTTGATTAGTGCGTCCCAGGGGAAGAATTGTGATGGGGCAACGATTTTCATTTCTTCGCATTAGGCCGGTGACAACCTCTGATGAGGTGCCATCTCCACCTGCAATAACAATTGCATCAGGTAGAACAGCCATTTCTTCAATAAAAGCTTTGGCATGTCCAATGTGATTGGTTCGAAGTAGCTCAACAGAATAGCCGGCTAAATGCAATATCGGCTCGCAATACTTCTTGAACTAGAAAAGAAAACATATAAATAGCATTTTGTGGAATTATGTACATGTTATTTACTTACAGTTTTCTCCGATTTTTTGTTGTTGGCGATGGGATTGATTACGACCAACACTTTTTTCGTAGATGGTACAGTTTTACATGAAGAAGATAATTTGGTAGAAAATTCCCGCATGTGTTGATTAATGCTGCAATTAAGATGGTTATAAGGATACATTTTGTTAAATTTCGTATACTTACTCGATATGTGTCTTAAGCGAGCTGAGTGCATAACCCGAAACAGCAGCAGCAAATGCACTCTTCTTCCAATTATTTCGAATTACTTTCAAAAAGTTCATTTTCATTAATAATTATAATTTCCAACTTGATATAATGTTATGTTTTGAGTTATGAAGCAAGGAAATATTTTTGTCAAGATAGTGTTGCGAAGTTGTCGTTGTTTGTAGTGAAAGGAACACAAAATGAAAAAAAAAACTGAAAAGTTATGGTGATTCATTAAATTTTAAACATGATATTATACACGGATGAGCTGTATATTTTGTAGAAAAATTAAGGCATATATTTCACTTTTCAAGCAGGTTTTCATTTTTTTCCTAATATTACTATGTGTAGAAAAGTCAGGGAAGTTATTTTTATGAAACCGAAAATAAATGTGTTCCAGTACAAACTGATTGCCAGCGGCTGTTCGTCGGGAAGGGCACAGATATATAAAACAACCAATTCTACTAGAAAAATGCTAGACCCTAAAGAAATATAGAAATATTCTGTTATCCGCCGTGTAAAACCCAGTACACAAATGAGCTACATTTTGTGTCGACAGAAGGTGCCATATATTTCACTCTGGGCGCAGTGTGACCAAAGTGGGTCTTGTTTGTTTACAAAATAATTGCGGTTTAAATTTTATTTTTGTATGAAAGCAAGTACTGTGGCGTAGGAGTGTATTATATGAGAGTAGATGTAAAGCTTGTAGGACAAGAACACATGAAAAAAGTGCTGCATTCTTTTATAAATCCGTTCAGGGGGGACAGAAATACAACAAACATATATTTTATATGAGTATATGAGAAAATGAATACGGTATTCGTATGAACAGGTATAATTTCATACCGTTTCCATGGAAATATAATTTATTAGCGCATCTGAGTACTGGATTATAATATACAGCTTAAAGCAGATTTGGCGATTAGATTATCTAGATCATTACCATTATAGTTTTTATGACCTGGAAAACATTAATTTATTCTAATGTAATGTATCTAAAAACATTAATGTATTCTAATGTAATGTATCTATCTTATGATAGATTCGTAATAATAATAATTGTAATTATTAACGTTTACATTTTGGATTGCATTTATAGATAATAGTGAGTCAGAAGAGTTTATAAAATTTACACTATTGTAAAATAAAAATTTGCTTCAAGTGTAGCCATATTTTAAGCCGTGAAAACTTAGTACGTAATATCCATCTGTGACGGTGGAAAAATACATTATATCGTTTATAGTTTTTGCAGTCTGATTTATCCAGCTGTATAGATACATTTAAGAGACTCATTCTGTTTGTATAAAGAATTGGGGGTAATATTGAGGTTTAGATGTGAATGGACCGTGTGTATTGTTACGCTTGGTAATTTATATCATGCTTTTTTTAGCATGAAAGAAAACTTAACAAGGGTATAAGAACACAAAAAACGGGCAATTTCAGTTGAAAATCAGAAATCAGAAATCAAATCAAATCAGAAATATTGTATGGCTTAGAACAAATTGTGTTCTTTTAAACTGCAACGAACCAGCTTTTGATTGAGTAAGAATGAGAACGAAGAATGAGTAAAAATAGAATCATACGTTGTACATATGTATGCATGAATGTACATATGTACATATGTATGTACCTGGAAAATGAAGTACCCAAAAAAAGTTGAATAAATGTTTGGACACAGAAATAGTTTTCCACTTTGTGTGCTCATATCACATAAGCTAAAAGTCTGATTCTCTTGATAGTTGAAATACTGATGTTTGTTTTCATTGTATTCAAAAAACTCACAAAATTCTTCGATTTTTACAATCTCGTTTCAGCCAAGGCCCCACTGTGCAATAGTTCGTTATTCGAAATTTATATTTTCGGATTATAATGCATCAAATATTCTCTAGATTTTCTTGTTGTATCAAAGTTTGTTACATGAAAATTTGTTCAGTTATTATTATGTCTTAATTAAGCAATGTACGATAGACCCACTGTGCGATGGTGAATGGGATAATGGGGTTTATCTGTTTATTAAGAAAAACATAGCCCTTGAATTGAGTAAACAATATCGCCAGCTGCCAGAATTCCACCCCTCTCCAATAAACTTAAACGAAACCTCAAGCGCTCGTTTACATCGAATTCAGCTGCAAGCCAAACGGCAACATTGTTTTATCCAAACTGAGGGTGCACAGAACACTTGAATATACATGTACATGTACATAAATCAAAAGCCACTTTATTGCAGTTAGACGCTCAGAAGTAGTCATGCCAGACCACTCAAAACGAGCGAGAATTTTATATGTACACGGTACTTCCAGAGTAAAAAGGTATATTGTGTAAATGGACGAGTGGACATATTTATTTATGATTAACCGAAAAATGAGTCCCTTTTGACTCCCTTAATTTCGAATTTATTAATTAAAATGAATATTAAAAATGGAAAATATTTCAAACGAAAACGAACCGTTAACTTGGTTAGGATTTCCTTTTACCTCTGAATACTGGATATCAAATGGCCTTTAGTTCTTTCGAGTTCTGTCTTCTAAGTGTATACATCCATACATATATATGCATGGATATTATGTATGTTTTGTGTATATTTTCATTTACATACAGCACTTGCAAAGCTTGCCATTGGTCTATGAGGTGATAGAGTATAAGAACGCATGCCATTGGTTGATATTGGGGGTGGATATTTCCATACACTCTTGTTCAAGTTATAGCTTCCACCAATTCGCGTGCAAAGTAAACATTCTGTATTCTTCAGTTTCCTTTTAGCCAGCAGACAAGTTTTCGGATTAGTTTCAACCGCAAAAAAATCAACCTAATTAACGCTTAAGCAAAACTCATCCCACTCCAACTGAAAGAATTGTACCTAAAAAATGTCGAAATATCCCAACTGTGTCGGCCAAAAGTCAACTTACTACAGCACAGTATACAATGGATCTGCTGTTATGGATGTAAAATGTAAATGATACAAGAACATCTAAATGTTCTTCGAACTACTTTCCACAATCGGTTTGATCATTTATTTCACCAGAAAGAAAATTTAAAAAGTAAAAAAATAGACGTCCATAGAAATAATGTAGTGTACGTGTAAATGTATGTACGTTTTTTTCGTACTGATACTTACAAGCTGATGAAATTTAGAAGAGTTTAGGCCCTAAACTTTTGGGATATACATACATATATTTGTATTAGTTTTGTGGTAAATGTGCATTTCTGATCCCAATAATAATATGTCTATCGTTTTTTACATCTAGTCTCAGACTATAAGATCTAAACCAGATTGGTTTTGTGTGCAGACTTCTTGACTCCTCCAGACTCCAGACCAAAAATGTGTGGCGTTCAAAACTTTAAGGAACTTTTAAAGCGCAGACTCATAAACAATGACCATGTCTGCACGATTGCTGAATCTGGATCAGATAAATATTATTGACTTCAGAAGAATGTGAAAATAAATGTTCCGTGGCTGCGCTACCCCCTTTCATGCTTTCACTTTCTGAATTTAAAATATTTAAAAATGGAAACAGATAAAATATTATCAAATTTGAGTGACTGCGGAAAAGGTTTAAAGTTACCCCACGTTACTAAATGTTGGAAGAAAATATATGTATATTCTAAATTTGCTTCCTATCGACCTCAAACTTTTTTATTGTTGAAACTTTAATATTAACCAATTCGGCGCACCTGCCATTAAATGATTCTTGCCCTACCACTCGATACCTGCACATCGTCGCCGCCAGGATTAGGCATTCAATAAGACACCCCCATTAACCGACTAGCCTCTAAAATATGGTACGGCCTTCTACGACCTAACCAACCTGACTCTAATGCCCTCTCCCTCGTTCCTACATACCTTGTGTTCGCGAACGTTCTACCGCTGTAATATTTGTATGTACAATGTATGTAGATACGTACACTACATAATAAATGAGGAGGAACTTTGTGAGACGCGCTGGAACGCTCCACATCTTATGCTCCACATCTATGCTATGCACTCAGTCAGTAGCTCAGTCACTGTCTGAAACGACTTGATTATTTTTTAATTGTTCTGTGTGTGCCTGTTGGGAATATTCGTTCTTATCTTTTTGGTCTTAGGCTTTTTGCTAGTGCATTTAAATTGCCATATAACTAAATTTGTAAATTTTTAAATATTTCAATAATTTTTAGATAGTTTTGTCATTTATTTAATAGAAATTTGTTTATGTAAAACAAATTGTAGGTTCTAAAAATATTCAGGAACAAAGATATATACCAATAAATCCCTATGGTCTGATGGCAACTCCAAATGTTCGGATAATTAAAAAACGAAATACAGCAAATAAAAAAGAGCGAAGACGAACACAAAGTATAAACAGTGCTTTTTCCTACCTTCGCGAACAAATTCCAAACGTGCCATCAGACACGAAACTATCCAAGGTAAGATTCTTACTGCTTAAATCCTGTTAATAATGAGCTTCAAATTTCAAATATGCTTCGTATAATGTACATAAAGATTTAGAAAGCCCGAAAACTAACCATAAACATCTTTGCTGATGCAAAAATAAATATAAATATTTATAGTTCAAATTTATGTTGTTTTATCTTTATAAATAGGCATTTCCGTGTCGATTTCTGCACTTTAACCTATTTTAAAATTAGATTCGTATAACTAATTATTGCACATTCAAAAAATAAATTCGGTTTGCACTCGTTTTCCCAAATCGCTTTATTGCAATCCATTAAGATGGAAAAAATGGATGGAAAAAATTCAAAGAGACCGAATAAAGCTTAAGTTAACGGTCCATTTAAATTTTTCCTGTACTTCATTATTGTAATTGCTTCGCAGCAGCGTTAGAAAATGCTACCCTACTCTGTAGTTTTTCTGTTTTGCTGTAGTTTTATCGGTAGCAATAGCAGGAGCAATATCAAGAACCAAAGTAGCTCAGAGCTGCGAGCAAGATGAGAGCTGAGCCAACAAGGAGGAACGTTTTGAGACTTATATACCCTTATATACCATTCATACCCGGTACATATGTATGTACATACAGCTCACTGATTAGTGACTAACTGTGTCTGGGCCGCTAGCACAAATTACGGGCCGAAATGAAACAAAATCGACCAAATGTGTGTATATTAAGTAGGTCTGCGAATAGGTCGTAAAGTATTTTTGACATTTTAATCACGGTTTAATTTTTTTGTATCAAGTTCTTCTTTGCATTAGTTGTAAGTGTGCTTTTTCGACATAATCTATAAATCATCTGTGTGATTATTCAGATGTTTATGAATTTCGAAAATTAGTTTAATAAATAAAAATATAGTCCGTTATCTGTTAATATGTGTAATGTACATGCAAATATTATATCAGTTCTACAATACTAAAGCACCATACTACTTAATTCTATTGTAACAGATTAAAACATTGAAACTGGCAATTTTATACATAAACTACTTAGAGGATGTTCTGGATGGAGAACAGGATGAAAAAGGCGTTTTTCTGGCAGACCTTAATTCGACACATCGTAAAACATGTAGCGATCAGAATAAGTCCCTAAATAGTGATTTTCACGTAAGATTAATATTTACATTATATATAATTATTTGAGGTCTTTTTGCGCTGCCGCCCGCCTGTTATTTGTGTTATATTTTAATAAATTAATTTTTTTTAATTGTTTGACTATTTGCTCAAATAAGCTCACATTGATACGTACTGTATATAGCTCAAAATGTTCACGATCATTTTTTTTGCGTTTGACGCGACTGTATTCGTTTAATGCTATTTGAAGTAGTGGTAAAAATTATATATGTATACCGGACTGTGCTCCTAATATCGCTAGACCTCGATGTTCTTCGTTTAATCAAAAAATGTATCTATGAGCTAAGCAACGTCTCACAATGTTCGTCCTCGTTTTTTTGTGTACCCCCACCGCCATCCTACACCTTTAAATTCCGTACCAGCAACAGGTTAAAGATTGTCAATAATCAAAATATTAAACAGTCGCACCGAAAAATAAAGTAATAAAATGTGCTCTTGTTTTTTTACAGAATATTCGAATACCGACTAATGGAAGAACAGGTTGGCCACAGGATGTTTGGGCTTCTGAGCTTAATCCTGATCAAAACTAGACTTAACTGTATTAAATTAATGATTAATTATAAAAAAACATATCCATTTTTTATTGGAAACTCAGTGGGGATACGAAATTGGGGATCAAATGCAGGTCTATGCCAAATCGACACTGACAACGGAGAGTGGTAAAACATGCAATCTAAGAATTCATGGGTAAGAACTCAAAAAAGATACACACGGATCCGTCTCCCGAGACCTAAGTGTAATAAAGTCTGCGAGAAACCCGGTTTCGCCGCTCAGTTGAACCTGACAATTTGAATTTGTTGCGCCACTTATATATATGTAGGTACATATATATATTTTATGACGGATCGGCCAATGCGCACTCCATAATAAACTGCCACATGATCCCGACATCGCTCCAGGTAAATTTATCCTGTTCAGCTGCTTATTCATGATCGTCATTCATCTGTCACTTTCTTCCTTTTCTTCGGATTTTGCTTGCCAAGCTTTTGCATGGAACATCCCTGGGCTCCTCTACCTTGCTTTCTGTCCGCCCTTCGGAGGTGGTCCCATGCTCGCCTGCTTATTAGATTTTCCGTTCGAGTTGGGAGAGTACCATCATTTGCTTTCTCAGTAATTCTTTTCGAATCTGATAACTCATCTGAATTTGTTTTTGAACAAAAACTATCCCTGATTTGGTAGACAAACATTTTAGCGATTCTGAATACTAGGCTTTACAAAGATAATCTGTTAAAGTGCGAATTGCATAATTGGATAAATCCATTCCTCAACAAAATTGGAAAGTATTAAATGTACTGAACTAAAAGTGGTATAATTTAAACACTATTTTTTATTATTTTATTTAAACGATTGTGAAGTGACATAATGAAATTGTCTAATGATTTATAAAATATTTAGGGATTAACGGTATTTTTGCATCATTTCATCCGTAAAGCTCTGCCGATGCGCAGATAGGGAGAGGTTTACAATATCCTCTCTGCCATCTATCCGTCAGGCGCCACCACATGAAGATTTCTTAATAGTGGGATGATATTGACCACAGGATTTCAGTTCAGTGAAAACTTCCGTAAAAAATCCAGGCTCTGCATTTATTTTTAGCATTTTATCGCTCAGTTTGTTCACAATCACCAGACACCTGCAATAAAAATGGCCAACACAATAAAACTATGAGTAACTATGAATTAAAACGAGGAGGAATGTTGTGAGACGCGTTCGTACGTGTCCATTTGATTAGATTTATAAATAAAAAACTGGTTTAATTTTACCTGTCCCAAAACTTATCCTTTGAGTCTTCAACTAAAAACGGCTTAAGAGGATAACTTATTTCATTTCCCATGTATGAGTATGATAGATACAAGCAGGTTAGCACAGAAGCTTGCAGATCCGATTCTTTAGATTCCTCTCCATCAACCAAATCACGAACTAGCATATACACAAAAACAACATTTGCCGGGTTAATAAATGCGACATCCTAGAGAAAAAAAAAATCTTTTATTAGTTTTATTGAATAAGCAGGTGTCGAAATTAAGTAATATTAAATATACAATGGTGCCGCAGAGATAGCGCGCGGAATGGGAATCTCCCATACATTTCAGCGGTGCCACAGAATTCAGAGCGATTTAGCGTGTTCACAAACCAAATTCGAACTGAGGCAGGCTAAGGGTTTAAAACTTAGCTGGTGTTGCCACCTTCCGTGATTCAAATAGCCTAGACTCTTATTAGTTTTATCATATTACAACAATAGGTTTGGAACTTGATTCTAATTTGAAATAAAATAGTTGATATTTCGAAGCCTTACTTTATAATTTTAATCAAATAAGAATCTAAATAACAAAATCGGATTCTCCAACAAATTTAAAATTTTAGGAGCCTAAAAATATCCAGAAAGATATACATAAGTATGTAGAAAAACACTTGTGGATGTTGATTCCAAGAAAAATATTTAAATACTTTAAGGCTCTGTAACACTCAGCTTAACTTACCTGCCATCCTTGCAACAATAAACTTCGATCAACTGCTCTAAGCCACATCACAGCATCGCCAGCATCGAAGTTACTAAGTCTTTGGCAGCGACAATGTAGAAAAATTCCTAAACACTTCAGCAATTCTGATGTAGATGCCTGAAAAATAAATACATCATCTTTTTAGTTAAGATACAAATTGATGATAAGTATCTGGTCTCTGTAAACATCTTTCTGCTCCATACTTTTAGCAAGGAACACACATAAGAGTCGTGTCGTTCTACATGGCACACGACAGCCATCGACAGCGAGAGGGGGATATAGGCCCCCTGATGGGATCCGACGCCAAAGGGCGGACACAAGTGTAAGGTGTGATCCCCTTTTGAGCTTGAGCTTGAGATACTGGCAGTGGGAATTGAATAGAGTAGAATTAAAAAAAAAACTGCTAGCATGTCTCAAGGCAAAAATTGTCTTCATCTCTCTTCATGGGTTCGAGACTAAAGCTTTGATTTGCACTGGCCCATAAAATATTGCCAAGAAAAAACATAATAAAATAACTGATCTAATATTAGGAAACATAGAGTCCACCACTTACAAAAAATTGCCTCCTTAACTGTACTTGCACAACTACACCATTACCTTTACCCATTCACTTCACCTTAATATCATTATTAATTATATCCTTTCCTTAATATCAGCGAGCGAAGCCGCAGAGTGCTTTGCTAGTATTTTAATACATTTTTACACTTTTTTAGTCTACATATATTGGGTATTTACCTGAATTACAGTTTTTCGAGGAATCTGATTATTGTTTTTGAACTGCATTGAAGATGGTTGCATTTGCTGTGGCAGGGTTAGCGTCAAGGGCTGTTTTTGAATCAATTTATTGTGATTACATATTGAGTTTTTGTTATTAACTTTGATGGAGTCCTTGACTTTAGAAGGGTTTTGAGATTTGGCTGTTCCCGTTCCTGAATCTTCTCGTATATCCTGTGCTTGATTGTAGTTCGGTTGATTATGCTCTTCTATTCGATTGCATTGTTGTTGGATGTTTCGATTCTTATCAGACGATGATGCGAAAGTGGACTCTAAAAACTGTGACTTAAAGCAGGCTGTGGGCAGGTTTGCACATTTATTTTTGTTATCAACTTTCTTCTTATTATGTGATGTTGATAATTTTTTCCAAGACAGTGCATTAATAAAAATTGAATGTTTCTTTAGATTTTTATCAATAGAAATCTTTTCTGATTTAATGGCTCCATTTTCGTTTTGTGTATCCAAAACATTTGTTATAGTATCTTTAGACGTGTTGGACAAATTGTGTAAGTGGTGAGAGCCCAATTGGGTTTGAGCCTGCAAATGAATATTGACTCCAGCATAGGTACCTTGTTGTCCTATAATATTCTTTGACAGTTGATGGCATACCGATTTTTTATTCTCTCGGTTTTTAGCATTATTCAATTGCTCATACGAATAATTGTTTAGATGTGAATCAATTGATCCACTACTAACATTTTCGTTTTTTATATCATTTGAATGGTTATATTGAAAATTTGGTTGAGATGAATATATTGGATGACGATCCCGAGGATTAAAACTCAACACAGTTCCCATATTGACTGAAAAAAACACACACATTTAAAAATCAATACTAACTGCTAACCTTTATTAATATATTTCAAACAAACTTAAAGCTTTTTTTAACTTTTTTTAAAGAACTTTAACGACAAGAATATTACCTCCTTATTTTTATAATCACGTACTCGTAAACACATATATATTTTTATATATATTAAAATATATTATATAATTAGATGTACAAAAAAAACTGTCACTTGAGCATGAAGGAATTTTTAAAACGTAATTTGGTGTCCCCTTTTATAATGGCATATCTGGTTGTTGAAAAGAAATCATTTTTTAAATAATTACAACACAAACTTCCAATTTTTCAATTGTTAATGACAGTTTTTATTTGTAACACAATCCACTGAAATACACATTGCACAGCTTGAAAATCGATATCTTCTATGCGCAGGCTCGTGTCGGACAGTACTTGTGGGGGTAGTTATTCCTGTGCTGTGTGTTTCAGGTCATGCTCAGTAGGAACAAGGATATAATATGGATATTCTAACATCAAAACAGATTTGGAGGAGTAGCATTACTTATCCAAAAACCGAATCAACATACAAAGAGCCACATAAATGAAGACTTTGAAGGAATCGCAGCTGAAATAAAATGAATGAAAATGGTTACAGTTTACTTAGTATATATTACAACCAACAAAACCATCTCATCAAAACTACACAATACTAGTAACAGGAGATCTAGACGGATGCCATCTAATCGAATGGCAATTCAATCCCGTCTCAATCGCTTAATTCATGGAACGATCACTGCTTACTCGTTTCAATGTTGAAATTCACCAAAATCACCACCCTCAACACTTTCACTAGCGTAGACCAAACCCTTTGCTCCCCCTCCTTAACGGAAGCGAGCACTTTCGAATTCTCACTTCCCTCTTCCCTACTGATTGCCACAATAGCTACAAAAAACCGTACTTAACAATTTAAAGTTTAAATTTAAAAAAAACCAATTGGGAAAAATTCCACTATCTCACTATCTCTCAAAGAGGACTGTCACCAAACTAAAGAAAATGCTTGGAAACCCCTAAATATAGCCATGACACAAACCAACATGATCAATTACATAGATCTGAGAAATTAAAATAAGGAAAGGAGACACAATTACCGGGTCAACTGGATCATTTATCTAGTTCAACATACGGAGGTTCTGTGGTCTTAACTCAACAAAACAAATCCTGTTTCCAAAGGAACCCAACGGAAATAGCTAAACCACTTGCAAAACACTGGTCCGATCTATCCATAGATAAAGACAGACTCATCAATTACAACCGACCCACATAACAAGTAGATAAAGATAAAACCGACATTTCCTCATACAGACCTACATATCTCAAAAAACTGCTGAGTAGGAAAAGTTCTGGACAAAACAATTGCCAACAGATTGTGTTTGTTTCTAGCCAACAACACCCAAATCAATCTTTAGCTAGTGGACTTTATACATAAACCATATTTGGTTGTTGTGGCTTTTATAGTCTCTGATTTTCAGGCGCTCATCAAGATAGATTGATGAGATGGGAGAGAATATTGAAGATTTGAGTGTGGCCCGAGTTTCACACGAATACATGAAGGAAGAACGCCTAACGGAGCATAAGACTCACTGTAAGAGGCATAGCAATCTCTTCCAACAAAGTTTCAAACTGAGTTTAGGCAGTTTAGAAGAGTTACGTATAGCAACAAAATTAATAATAACAGTCAAATTATGGCTTTTAATTAATTTTCCTTTCAGCTGTCTAATTATGATCAGCAAAAAAGTAAAGACATTTCAGCCACACCAAATTGTTAGCATCAGTTGTGTTTTCATGGATGGTACCACCGTTCCACCAGGATTGCTCCTGAATGTTCTGTCATCGAGTCGTTGCTCTGGTCAATAAGTAAATTTTGTAAATCCTCGATTAAACTAGAAAAGTCTGCAAAGAATGCATAAAATAATTAATTAATTTAAATAGTTTGTATTGTGCTCTCAACACCGCTCATAGCCAAAGATTTTAAGGTTGGCGCGTAACTCACCCTTTCATGGCCACGCAATGTCATTATAAATTTGAGAGTTTTTCCAAACTCCCCGAAAACCTCTCATAGTTATAGCTGCAGGTGTCCACAAAATCTCCTATCCAATGCCAAAATATATTTAAATTATATTTGTTTGTTTTTAAAGCTTATATGAGTTATTTTCCCTTTTCCTTCCTCAGACTTATTATAGCCGGCATAATTTTATTCTTATTCACTCTGTAAAAAAATGTGTTTCATTTTCGTATTCCATTTCCAAAGTGTGTGGCAAAAATTCTGTTAGAAAAATTTTCCGAGTGCACTTGTTATTGGTACTAGTGACAGCATGTTGTAAGGCGACTAAAATCTTTAAAAGTCTTTTGAGCCTTCGTTGCATAAAAACACACAATCAATATAAATAAATCTGTAGATGCTCGTACTACCGCAAATTCTTTTTTAGTGAAATACAACCTATTAATTTGGGCAAAACTGTGAATTACAATTATGATGACGGAAAAAATATCTTCTGGCCACACTAATTTATCAAACAAGGGGTTTGTGTTTTATTTATCTAAACAATCTTAATGCCAAAATAACATTACTAACGCATTGGTATTCATTACTTAATTGACTTAATTTTTCTGCCGAATCGCATATTTTTCTTTTAATGCCGAATCGCATATGCCTCTTATTTACAAAAATATGCAAAAGTATGTGTAATGTACATGCATGAAAAAGTTGATTGTTTTAAAATATAATGCTTACATATATTAAAATGATTCAACTGCAATTGTAATAGTTGAACTTCATGCGCAACACAAATGCTAGTCTAGTATTGATAACATCTAATTCCACTACATAAAGAACATATTTTTGCAAAAGAAATTAAACTCAAGCAAATGTATTTGAAATTTCCTAATGTTAACATTTAAGTTAGGCTTATACATACATATGTACACATGCATATACATTCATTTTATATATCTCGCAAAAGGCACGTTCGTTGGTTTGCTGAATATGTTCTGTAATTTAGTAATATGAATGTATATTATAATGATATTCAGGCCTTACACAAACATACATTACATACATACATACATATTTACCTCTGCACGCCGGCATGCTATAAGATGGCGATCATGTGAAAGTACTTTCCTGATGATGAGTGGGCAAAATCATGCTTAACTGTTCACTCAAATTTTAACTTCTCAAAAAATGTATAAATTCGCATCGCATTGTATCGAATCAAGCCCAACATACAGTTAAAATTTAATTTTCCGTATTTAGACTTTATAATGTCTAAAAGGTCTCAGTCCAACCTTTCCCCCATATTCTTTGTCCATATAAAGCCAAAAACAATAAATCAATCAGTTTTTGATAACTTGCAATCCAAACCTGCAAAGAGTAAAAATAGGCAGGCACATTCACTGTGCACCTATGTAATAATAAACATTTGTTTTCATTTTTTAGCATAATTAATGATCATAAAATTCTTGGAAACATCAGTGACGATATGGGCTGGAAATCTAAGCTAAAGCTACCCCCAAAGGATAATCGATTTAAAACAACAGTGAGTATTCGTTTAAAAAATAATTTATTTTAGAGCTTTCAATTAAGGGGACAACTGAATTCGTTTTTACAATCATCGTAGTAGTAGACATGCTGTTTAGGCAACGACTCACAATTTTCCTTTTAATTTTTTCTTAAAAAAGCTTAATGTTTATTTACATAATTTACATAAAATGTCTTTATAATTTGTATAAATGATGAGACTAGTGTTGGAAACGACACGTAAGTTAAATATTGCCATTGCCACTGAAAGAACGAGAGTTCTAATGAACTTACTGAAGTTGATAGAAACTATTGTGCTATTTCCCCTTGATTGACTACCCATATCATGTCTCTATATTTGATGCCCCCGGACTTATTTTCATAAAGTTATGTTATCATGCCTGTTGACGAGCTTAGCCAAATATTTGTGCCGAAGTGGTCAACATACCGACAGAGATGTTTGAAATAGTGTTGCAAAACTCATCAATACCATGTGTTATTGTTTTTTTTTTTTTCATTAATTAACTTTACGCTGAAGTTTCAAATGCAATTTTTTGTATAAACTCGAACAGTTTACCAATTGCTATTTCAAGTGGTCGTTAACCATTGTCCAAATTTGAGTATCAAGTAAATGAATGCTTACCCCTTTTTTCAGGATGTGACCGATACACGTGGAAACGAATTTGAAGAGTTTTGCCTAAAGAGAGAATTACTTATGGGAATTTTTGAAAAAGGATGGGAACGTCCTTCTCCCATTCAAGAGGCTGCTATACCGATTGCTTTGAGTGGAAAAGATGTGCTAGCACGAGCCAAAAATGGAACTGGTAAAACTGGAGCTTATTGTATTCCAGTTTTAGAGCAAATAGACCCAACGAAAGACTATATCCAAGCGTTAGTGATGGTTCCTACACGTGAACTAGCCTTACAAACTTCACAAATATGCATTGAACTGGCAAAGCATCTTGATATACGAGTAATGGTCACCACTGGAGGTACCATACTGAAAGACGATATTTTGCGTATATATCAAAAAGGTAATTATAAATATTACATATGCATATAATGGTTCTCATCGATTAATGGCTTTAATTTGTATTTACAGTACAACTAATTATTGCGACTCCCGGACGAATATTGGATTTGATGGATAAGAAAGTTGCTGATATGTCGCATTGTAGGATATTAGTTTTGGATGAAGCCGATAAACTACTATCGCTTGATTTTCAAGGCATGCTGGATCATGTTATATTAAAATTGCCAAAGGATCCACAGATACTGCTCTTTTCTGCAACATTTCCACTGACTGTTAAAAATTTTATGGAGAAGCATTTACGCGAGCCTTATGAAATTAACCTTATGGAGGAACTGACGTTGAAAGGTGTCACTCAGTACTACGCATTTGTACAAGAACGCCAAAAAGTGCACTGTCTAAACACATTATTTTCAAAATTGCAAATTAATCAATCTATAATATTCTGCAATTCTACGCAACGTGTTGAGTTATTAGCTAAAAAAATCACAGAGCTTGGATATTGCTGCTATTATATACATGCAAAAATGGCGCAAGCTCATAGAAACAGAGTTTTTCATGACTTCCGTCAAGGTCTCTGTAGGAATTTAGTATGCTCGGATTTATTTACTAGAGGAATCGATGTCCAAGCCGTGAATGTTGTAATTAATTTTGATTTTCCTCGAATGGCTGAGACATATTTACATCGTATTGGCCGTTCTGGACGGTTCGGTCATTTGGGTAAGTAATTATCTTACAACTCAAGTCGTTACATTGTTAGAAATTATATAGACACCGGTCTTTACATTGTTTAAGTCTGGTTCTTTTCTGTTTAGCTCAATATTTACAGTTTAAATAGCTCAATAATGTTAAAAACTGATTTTAATCTTTAAACTTAATTATTTTTGTGTTCTTTTTAGGAATTGCTATAAATCTAATAACTTACGAAGATCGCTTTGATCTTCATCGGATTGAAAAGGAGCTTGGTACTGAAATAAAACCCATACCGAAGGTTATCGACCCTGCATTGTATGTAGCAAATGTTGGCGGATCATCTGGAGAAATTTGCAATAACAGTGATCTTAATACTTCTGCAAACGAGGAAGGAAATGTTAGCAAATAGAAAGAAATCATCTAAAATTGTAATTATAGGCTTTTAAGTAAAAATATAATACATGAAATCAATAAAGTGAATGAAATTTTTCGGAAAACTAAAACCGACGTAAATAAATGAACTATAAATAAGCAGAAGTAGAATCAGCATGAAAATCATGTATTTATATTACGTACTAGTAAATAATTGGATTGAACCACTCGGCAAACTACACATGTGGAGGCTCCAAATCCAATAAAAACTAGAAATGCATACATGTATGGATGATTGGCTCGCAGGACTTTGGCTCTTGTAGCTGATAGCTTCATCTGTAATGTTCAGTATGGGTTTGCTGCTCCAAAAATGTTAATAATCTGCACGTTTATATACGATATATATTCGATAATTTTAACTAATACCATGTTAATTCATTACAAATCCAATCACAGCGAAAAAATGAAGTTACTACTTAAATTAAAACAATGACTTGCTTATTGTCATCAGCTGTTTTTGTGTGGATGGTTCCTGGTGGCATAGGATTCGGATTTTCACCTGCGTCAATTCCCACAGTTCCATATACCTGCTGAGTGGGAAGAGGATATAAAAACATCGATGAAATCAATGTTGTTCCATCTCTATCTTTGATATGTTTTCGTGTCACCACTACTTATCTGGTTGAAAATAAAAACTTGGGTTTGTTTGTGGTCAATAACAATACAGATGTGTAATGAATTATAAAAAAAGTGAATTTAAATTATATCATTAAATGCAAATATTTGGAAAACCAACATATGTAACTATTTTTATGCGATGCTATTCGCATGCTATGTGTGTTCGTGTGAAACCAGTATACATTAATACGCTACATCGTAAGTTATGTATTATGCTAATTTCTTTATGCATAAATGTTCTATATCGTAATAGTATAGCAATGTTCAAGTTAAATACAGAATGCTGTTGATTATTTTTGTAAGGTCATTACAAAGTAGGTCTTCACTTATACATATTTGTTGTTAAATTATGACTAAATTGACAATTCACAAATAAAGAATACTAAAAAATGCTATTGCGTGGTAAGTTAGGTGACAATAATTTACGACTCGTAGACGAAAAATTATACGCGTACAAAAAAAAGTTTGTACTTATGTGTAAAATGTGTATACTACATTTGTATGTGTGTACATTTCCAAGCATTAAAATGTCCCTGTTAACACTATAAATAGTTTCTAATAACAATAAATAACATAATACTTGAAAAGTTCCTAATTAGTTGGTTTAATAGTTTTTAAAAATGTTTTCCATAAGTATGGATTTGGAAAGATATGTATGAATCTTTTAATCAATTGTCAAAGCCATAACATAAACAAGTCATTAGTTGCTTTGAAAGGTTCTCTTTTGTACTCTCTGTGTCGTTTGGTTCGTTTTTAAGGTTTAATACCTTTCATTCCTATTTTGCTTCGTGTTCAAATTCATATACACAGAAATCGCGAGCAGAATTGGAATCAGTGGAAACAATTCCACCTAAAAATGTCAGCTGTGCAACCGAACTTCGAGCGGCTTAGGGGTGAAAACTAAGCTAGTATTGACACCTTCCAATATTACATTAACCCAGGCGCTATTACGCAGTTTTATTAGTTTTATCAATTCAAAACAATTGTTATTGAATTTGTTTATTATTTCAAAACAAAAAAATTAAATTTCATCAGCTCAAAAAAAAACGACGAGGAACGTTGTGAGACGCGACTTTAGCGGCGTAAAAAATTTCTAAATATATATGTCAAGGCTACAAATATAGTTCATAAAGAGTATTTTAATTATATAATTAAAAAATGACCCACTAATGTCTTACTTTTTTTATTTCAGATTGTAAATATTGAAAAAATGGCTTCAACATCGGATGATGGATTAGTGCTAAGCGGCTACCAAAAAAAACTAAAAACAATGAAAAAAAAATTCTTTGTTTTGTATGAAAAAACCAACAATGCAGCTGCACGTTTAGAATATTACGATACGGAGAAAAAATTTTTGCAAAAAACAGAACCAAAACGAGTAATTTATTTAAGTAGCTGCTTTAATATAAATCCTCGTTTTGATACTAAACATAGATTTGTTATTATGTTATCGTCAAGAGAAGGCGGATTTGGAATTGTGCTCGAAAGTGATAGTGATCTACGTACATGGCTGGAAAAATTATTATTCTTGCAACGGCATCAGGCAAACATAAATGGTCAAATGCAATCAACATATGGTAGGTTGAATTCAAATAATAATATTTATGTTACAAAAATTGTTTGTCCTGACTGGATGGTGAATAATTTTAGCTTTTGTTATATTCGAAAAGACTAAACCATTTTAATAAGGATATTTGTGTTTCCTTACAGACCATGTCTGGCAAGTTTATATTCAAAAAAAAGGAATGTCGGAAAAAGTTGGAATTACTGGAACCTATCACTGCTGCCTAACCTCAAAATCGCTAACACTCGTTTGCATAGGTCCGGAAAAATTACCAAATGGCGATAGCCGAATCTCTAGTATTGAGATTCTTTTGACAACAATACGTCGGTAAGTACAGACGCTTACTCAGACGGCCGGACAGACAGACAGAAGCAGACTCGACTATTGACGCTTATTAAGAACGCTTCCTTTTGAAAGCAATTCTCAACTCATTTAAACCAATCCAATTGTATCGTTTTTTATTTATTTACATTTTATACATTTCGTAAATTTGTTTCTAGATGTGGCCATGCACCTCCTCAATGCATTTTCTATATGGAACTTGGCCGTCAGAGTGTTTTAGGCTGTGGGGAATTATGGATGGAAACGGATAATGCTGCTGTCGCTACAAATATGCATAATATAATTTTAAGGTAACTAGCAAAATTGAATTCATTATAAATACTTAAAAATTACAGTGGGTATATAATTTTCAGTTTTTTTTACTGATACTTATCTGCTTATATTTAAAATCGAATAATTAATTAGTCTTTGGTATCTTTACTTGTATTTTCCAGCGCCATGTCAGCTAAAACTGAGACTAACATGAACTTTTTGAATGTGTACCAAGCAAGACCTGATATTGGTCAGGAACCAATGAGAAAACGTTCATCATCCGCAAACGAATCCTCCAAACCAATTATACAAACTCGTCAAAGCGCTGTTGAATTGAGGAATAGTAGTTCCATACATAATAGTAGTAAGTGCAAACTAATTTATGTTCAGAAGATCTAACATACTCGTAAACTCTTCAATTACCAGGCAAAACAAAATATGTTGTATTAATTCTAATCCTTTTTTTGTTTTTAGCTTATGGAAGAGAAAGGTGTGATAGTTTACCAACAAGAAATCGAACCTTAAGCGACGGCAGCAATCAAATAAACCTTGGATCAAATCATGGTTTCCGATCTAACACGATTGCTGGGAACCGTCCAAACACTACCAATAAACCCAACTGTAGTCCACCGTTTTATACACCATTAAGATGCTCGGAATCTGAAGAATCATCAATTAGTGTGGACGAATCCGATGATAACGGAACTTTTACCCCTTATCGACGAAAGTAAGTGAATAATTATCAATCGAAAAATAAGATACTAAACTGTACACTGCTACGTTTTGACATATTGTGGCTGCAATGATGATGAACACAACAAAGCATCAACTTTTAAGAACTAAAACATAATCGATGTTACGTTTATTTCAGCACCCGGTCTTCCAAAGGAGTTATTCCCGAAGAAAATATTGACGATTTTGCCAGTGCTGAATTGAGTTCAACCACTGTAAATAATGGTAATTGGCACATAAAAACAGATACAAATTATTATTGGCTAATTGGCTACGAAATAAACTAAATAAATCTCTCACAACTATGGATATAAGGCTACTGAGGATACTTTGGAAATTCACTATGCCTAGCACATTTACTTTAAAACCTCAGATTAGTATTAAACAACTTTTCACGACCGCGACTTTTTAATTTAAAATTAAAAGGACTCGTATGTAGACTTTTTGTTATTCAAGATCTAGATATTGAGACGGATAATCAGTGAGTATAAACCGTATTCTGTAAACATATCAACTCGATTGCAGGGCATTACAATTTTCTTTCTGTGGCATAGAATATATCGATTCTGATTAAATTCAAGTAAAAATATTGTGAGTAGAGAACTCGCCTTTCAATGTAACCTCTCTAATGCTGCATTATATACATTCTTTGTTAGCTTCAAACCAAATAATTATTTTAACTGTTATTTTAAATTATTTTGAAACTAATCAGAATTGCTATTTCTCAAATGTTGTTGCAGGTTTGTTCGACCAATTCGAGCTTACTCAATAGGCAATAAAGTTGAGCACTCAAATCTAAAACGCATTGGATACATAAATGAAAGTGGAAAGAACTCACATCGTGTTCGAGCTTATTCCGTTGGTTCAAAGTCCAAAATACCTCGATGTGACTTGCAACGTATTGTTCTTGTGGAAAAGGATAAAAACAAAGCTGGGACGAACGGAAGCCATAATAATATATTCACAGATAATTCTATTCCAAGTGAAGTCATTCATACGAATACAATTCGAGAAAACAAATCAACAAGCGCTCCTCTATTGGGTCTTAAGCATCAAGTAAACACTGATCGTATGAGTGATCTGATGGAAATTGATTTTTCGCGAACCTCGATTTTGGTAAAAAAAAAGCGAATTAAAGACGATGACATTCCCGAAAATATTGAAAATGGTTTTTCAACATACCGTCGAAACCTTCCTCTTCGAAACCTTGTTACTACTGATCCAAACGTTCTTGAGGAACAACAAATTAATAGTGAACCTCGCGCTTCAGATGGTGGATACTTGGAAATGAAACCGGTTGGTAAAACGGCTTACTGTGAGTCCAGTGTGGCTTTTCTTCAAAATAAAATGGATAAGATCAAGCTAAAAGACTTTTCGGAACCACATATACAGGATTTAAATGAAACGAGAAAAACAGATAACCCCAATCCATCCGTAATTGTTGAAGAACTGCAGAAATCTAGTTTAAATGAAATTGGTTGTCAAACTATGGAATTAACCACCTCACCTGACAGTAATGAAAATCTTGGTTTAATGAGGCAACGAACCAACATGAATCAAGAAATTGAAAGCAGCAAGAAAAATAAACCAGAATTCGGCACAGGAGACCCAAGATCAGTTCCAGATGAAATTAAATTCGTAAATTCAACAAGCAATGATGAATACGCACAAGTTACAGGAAAAATCAGTCAGTTTGCTAATAAACAAAACGATGTTGGATATAAAATTATTCACATAAAAAGTGACAGCTCACTAATCTCATTAAAGAAAAATCAAGTGGCCATTCCTAATGACGATTCGGAGCATAGACTTCAAGATAAGTGTATTATGGTAGCCGACAAAGGTCAAGGTCCCAGCTCAAGCAATGCGAAATGCAATTTGAAGATAAAAATAGCTGATTTAAAAAGAACAGATGCCAGTACAATATCCACAATTCTTCCAATTAAAAATTTAAATTTCCCATCTGATCACACTTCACGCATATCCCATCCTGAACTTTACTACGCAAGTCTTGATCTTCCCCATGTTAGCGGAAAAAACACAGGAGCATTTCTCAAAAGAGGCTCATGTGAATCGCCGCCAGTTGCATTGTCTGCAGGAGGTGGGAATGCGTATGCAAAAATTGATTTTGATCAATCCGACTCATCTTCCTCCTCATCGAACGTAGTTAATGCTTAAAGTTAATTGTTGACTATGTGAATTTAACTTTTTTAACATTGTAAATGTATTGTACATATTTTTGCAACAGCTTCAAATTTTATATAATATAAAATAAATTGTATTTACAGTGTCAAACATTAATCTGACCTACAGAAATTTTGTGCGATCGAAAGAGAGAATGAGCAAGCATAAGGTGAGTTGTTGGAATGTTACATATGAAGTTGGCTATTAATAAATAGACAACCACAAAACATTCAGTATTCCAATACTCACATTTTACACAAATTTTTGTTAATACAATGGGTACCTGGTTGGAGCGTTTTGTTTGCCCCAACAAGCCTGTTTGCAGTACTGGGAGAAGAGCTACATTATACTTTCCTGGTGGGGGCACCTATGCTGGCTACTGGAAATGTAATCAACAGCAAGGCTGGGGTGTGATGAAGACGGCAAAGCGAGATGCCAAGTACTTTATTGATAAAAAGCATCCCGATGGTCAACTCGTCTATGAGGGTCATTGGGTGATGAACAAACGGCAAGGGATTGGGTCGATGCTTCGCAAGCGTGGCGCAGATGTACAGCTGATATATGCGGGGCGATGGTACGATGATATGAAGTGCGGCGAGGGCAAACAGTTCTATCCCGATGGCTGTGTCTACTTCGGAAACTGGCTTAGGAATCGACGACATGGTCTTGGCATTCAATGGTATGGAGATGGTGGCATTTATGTGGGCGAGTGGGAGACTAATTTCCGACATGGCTTGGGTGTCATGTTTTATGGTTTGTATGCTGAATAAGCTTTATATGTTTTAATGCTTAAAACTCTATCCCGAAACTTAGCTAATGGCAACCGTTACGAAGGACACTTTGCGCGTGGATATAAAAATGGCGAGGGTGTGTTCTATCATATGCACACTGGTCAAATTCAAAAGGGAATGTGGGAAAATGATAATGCAAAGACATCCCTGATGCAGGATGAAACCCTCATTCGACGCCAAGACACAGTCAGTCCATATCCGATTGAACGGAATTATCTAAAATATCCCAATGAAATAATACGCAAGCTCTTCCAGAGGTACAAACCTCTCAGCGATAAGCCACACCGTCGATTCAATGACACGGTAACTCTGGAATTCATTCACCACCGCAGGCAGTTTGCTTGCCTCGAGGAACGTGTCGTTTCGGCAACTAATGTGGATCTCTACCCGAATACTGGGTTTGTTTGCACTTGCAACTGCGCTCAGATAGCCAGAAACGAGACAAAAACCAGTCAGATCTAACTAAATTTCAAAAGAACAGGATTTAATATAAAAGAAATCCACCCAAATGCCTTTTGTGGCTAGCTCTCAATTTATCTAGTTGACTTCCCTCTGTTTACAGCTAGATTGCTCTCGGGTTTTGTTCGCCTTACGTCATGGGTCGGTCGCACATGTTGGCAGAAGTTTGGTACCATTACCAAATGGGAGCTGAAGTCGCAAAATCGACTAGTACCGTTTCCTTGTATGAACTGGCATGTATGTTTAGTCACTAAGCTTTAGTGATCACAGGCATTGAGGGGGCCGAGAAAATCAGTCCTTTGTATTTGTTGGAATATGCTGAAAAATAATGTATCCAATTAAATTTGATTCCCATTTGATTGCTTCAAAACAAGTACTATTTTTTATTGTATTATATATTACTTAAAATATAAAACTCGCATGAAGTAAATTGTTTGTGGTATTTAAAAATAAATTAACCGGTTGCTATGCCTAATGCAACTCCACCAAAAAATGCTGCTGTAAAAATGTGGAGTTCATTCACTTTTGGGCCATCTTCATCTCCGATAAGCTTTGTGTACCATTTTTTTACTTTTTTACCTTTGTTTTTTAACAAGCTCTCTGCTTTTACCATTTTATCATCGACAAATCTTTCAGTCTGCAATTAAAAATAATAAAACAACTTTGTTATACAAGATTTTATCTTTAAGAAAAATACAGGGATTCTGGCCATAATCATGATCCCGAGATTCAGCAATATAAATTATATACACAGTTTTGATACAAATATTTAGAGTCGGATATCAAATCAGTCAGCCGTAGCTTTTATAGTCTTTGAGATCTAGGCGCTCATCAAGACGGATGGGCTGACTCGGCATTATATACCGGTAGAACTGTGGTTTTAAAATTTACCTTATCGACCCAAGTGGTTTCACGCCCAAGAACTGAAGATTCCACTTTGTTTGCAATTGAACCAACGCTTTTTGTCATCTTGGACCAGTTTACTTCAATTATTCCTTCTTGGTGCGCTATTTCCAATAATATTATGCTTCCGCCAATCGCAAATGCTGCAAATTTCCCAATTTTCATTGTTGTAAATCCAGTGGCCCTTAAAAGTTGTAAAAATAAAATAGATTTTTAGCCTTAACTTTATTTTGTTTTTTGAAATAATGTGTAAAAAGGATTCGAAAGACCAAATGTTCATCAAGGGAACTGTTGCAACCGGTCCTACTGTTGAAGTCGTTTTCAAACTAGAATGATCCTGGTGTACGAATATTATGTGTGCCTACTGTATCCACATATATCCTTAATATAAACTCTACCCAGTTTCTTGAGGACGTTTTTAATTTTTTTTTAAATTTAAATTTCGAATTTCTTTTATTTTGTGATGGGTTTGCACATGTTCGGGTAATTCGAATGTTGGCGGTAGTGCCGTCTCTTTTATTACGTTTAGCGCATTTCTTTATTTAGACTTATACAACTGAATGCTGAAAACTAAGAAATGCAACGCAAATGCGGATTCGTATGAACAATTCATTTTGTGCGTCGAACTAAGTCAACTCTTTCGATTCAATTCAATAATATTCTTTTGTTTTAATTAAATCCAGCCACTCAGATCTCTAGTATGTATGTACATAATAATGCAGATATCTGAGTCATAAGCTAAAGCCAGATGAATGATGCCTTGATCAAGTCGAAAGAGTCGAAGTCGCTAGTGAAGTCGGAAAGCAGAATCGCATACAAATTCAACTTATTTGAATTTACAATATTGTTATGTGAGTACATGTACAGATATATTATATACGCTACATACCATCCTGAGGTAACTCCAATTAGCAGTTGTGAGTAAGCAGACCGCTTACTAATATTATTAAAAGTGTTTTTTATAATTTTAGAGCAGTCATCCATTTCGGACATTATGTATAATTTTGTTTTGTCGATATATTGAGAATATACGTTTAGATACAATGTGACCAAATAACTATTATTGGCTGATTAAAAGATAGTAAGGGTACTCTAACAATTTATGTTTATAAAAATATATTTATTTTGTAGCATTACTTTATCTCAACAAAAAGTATGATCCAATTTGCTCGGATACAGCGTGAAAGACATTACCTCAGAATGTTTTTTATTATCATAATAATTATTATAAAAAGACAGGGTCACATTATAATTGCATCTTGCCAGCCGGCTTCTAGTACTCTGTTTTTTCCAGTATTAATCTGAGTTTTTTGTTGCGTATATTTTGACTGGTCGGCAAACAATCATTCTCACGAAATATTTTTGACCGGCGATTACAAAAATTCGATTTTTCTCATAGCTGAAAATTGAACGGTCCGTAGGTACAAGAATAAAGCGTAAGGGTAAGTTGGCACAATAAGGTTTTTCTATTTGTTTGTCGCGGTCTACGGCTCGTTTGAAGAAAATCTACCCAAGCCTTTTATTTGTCTCACGGCAACAAACAAATTTTTGCAACGAGTCTTACAGTAGCTGAGTACGCCCAGCGCACAGCTAGCAGATAAAAGAATCTTGTTATCTAAAAACCCCTATGGGTCTTCAACGAAGCAGATGACGCAAACTCGTAGTTTTTGTTTAAATATAAATTGGTTAACTCTTTTATTGATGTACATATATTACAGTTTATATGAAGTCGGCTAGACAGCAACAGAGCATATTATTTAAGAGATATCAACTCAAATTAGTATCAGAAACTTAGTAACTATTCAAGCATTTTAATGTACTGCGTTTACATAAATTAAAAACACCATTTGACGTCTTCCAAATGTTTCACATTGGCAGAAGCTGCACGCAAAGGCTCATCTGAAAAAATTAAGATAACAAAAATTGTATTTCAGTTATAAAGAGATTCTTTGACACATGTTGTAACGCTTGGATAAATAAAAAATAGATAAATACCATGCTTAAGCCTAACTCAATATTGCGATCTAAATGTAGCTCAACTACACTCCAACTGTCTCCTATTTACCTTTAATATAAGTACAGCTTTGCAGATCGAAATTCAACCCTTTGAGTTGATCTAAGATACTAGAATTCCGACATTGCTTAAAAAAAGAATGTGTCATTAATTTATGTGCACTCCAGCGACACGTAGGATTTTTATTCAGGCAAATTTCCATGTACTGGTGAAAGTCATCTGAAAAGGTTCTCTGGTTGTTCATGGCACTAGGGACTGCTTCTCGGGAATAATTAACTGAACTTAATCCTGAAACAATAAATAATATTTAGTACGGTTTTGTACTTTTCTACTAGGAAGGTGTTCCCAATACATGAAGTTCTCGCTTTCAATAATTACCTTGACTGGATTTATCTGATAACGAAGGTAGATTTCCACGAATTTTTTCTGTGCACATGAAAGTTAGTTCTGAATCCAAAAATGGTTGAAAACCATTTGCCATTTCATAAGAAGTGATTCCAATCGAATACAGGTCACTCTTTTCTGTGTATCCAGATAAATTTTGATATAATATCTCTGGAGCTGTCCAGTTTAAATTTTCTGCCTTTCCAACTGTTGACCCATATAAAACTTGATCTCTTTTGCCTTGGTTAATAAAAGACCGAGAGTCCCGAAAATTTGATAAAATTGCTTTATTGCGATCTAACAGTATACTTTTAGCCCTTAACGATCCATGAATGAAGTGGTGAGAGTGTATGTACACCAAAGCAGACATTATATCTTTGAATATCAGTGCTATTAAAATCTCCGGAAATCCTGTAAAACAATGAAAATATTATTATTAATATTTCTAAAAATATTATAAAATGTAATGTAATGTAAATGTTTTCACAATGGAACAGCCAACAAAACGTTGGTACTAAACCCGTTTTTTGGGGCGTTTTTAAATTGTAATTTTTAACTCATTCGAAGTCTAAAAGTCTGGATGAAACACTTGGTACCTCTAGTTCTTCTGGTCTCTGAGTACTAGGCGCACATAGGGACGAACATAGTAAATAATATTTGATCAACAGAATGATAATGAACTTACCAGAAGTGAAAACATTTTCAAGTAGTGTTTGGCAATTTCCAAAACAAACAAATGGAAACACCATGTACACATAATTCTTGTCAACAAAACAGTGCAGCAGGCTATTTATATTTGTATGTTTAAACTGTCGACATTTTAAAACATCTTCACATATCCTCGTCACTTTATCCGCTTGTTGTTCGACTGAAATTTGTTTGATAACTACACATTTGTTTGAATTCAGATAATTGGCCTTGTATACTGTTCCAAATGTTCCGGCCTTAATTGTAGAGTTTAATTTATAGTCGGATATATTATTGCTAAACATTGTAAATATACACGGTGCAGGGAAGTGCGACCGCGGACTTTTCGGTAAAATATACGGTGTGACGCTCAAAAATATACCAAAATATAGCTTTTAATTTTCAAAATATACTGAAAAAATAGCTACATTGTTTTTGGCGGCTCTTTCTGAGGCGGACGAGTAGCCATCAAAATATTTTGTATAGATGGTCATCATTTCTCTGACGTAGAAAGATGAAAATTTCAGATTTTCAAAAACTTTTTAACATTATGAAAAAATTAAAATTAAAAAAATTGTATTTAACCGTCCTTGCATGAATTCGTAGGCTTTTAATTATTAAAAATATACAATTTAGCGGAGATTGAATCATATATGTCGTATTTTTTAGATAGTTTAATAATAGATAGACCTATTGGAATACCATTTTCAACAACCAACTTTCTTTCTTATACAGACTATGGAGCTTGAGACAGTCACTACTGCCGGAGAAACGCTCGTAACTGTCCTCTTCGCTTTGAACGAAGTTCACAGTACCCTCTCTCTCTCTCTCTCTCTCGGGCAATAGAGGCTAGGCAAGAACAACTGTTAACCGCTCAAGCAACCGCACGACTCTCTATTCAGATTTATACTTACAAATGTGTTTTTAGCCATGACAATTTCCATGTATGTTCTTATGTATATCGCTTTATTACATTCTTTTATTTTATATATATGGTAAATTAATAAATTAATTAACTATTAATACAATAATGAAGAATCCAAATTTTTATATTATTAAAAATATACATTTTAAACATAGAAGTCGTAATATAATACATTGTTCTTGGAGATAAGGGTTTTTTGTTGGGTCTCAAAATTCTAAAGGGTGCATATAATATTAGATCGACTTTGTTTGAATTTTATTAAATTTATTTGTTCGCCATTAGCTACAGTGCTGTGACAAAAATTTTCGTTTTGCAGACTAAAGGTTAGCTGATAATAATAAAGACTTTGCATAAGGTTTACAGATTTTAAATAGGTTTGATGGCAAATATTCCTAAAAATCCGTCGGTAGATCAGGATCTCTTGAGTTATGCGGAGCACTTGAGCTATTTCTGAAAATAATTTAAATTTTCTATGAATTAACTCAGTTATCGAATTGATTATTTCTTGAATTTTGGTAGAGTTTATGTGTAAGTTTATCTTTAAATAATTATAATACATTTTAACACTGAACATAATAGTTACTTACAAGAAGTTATTGATTTTTTCAAGATCATGCAATATGACATCTTGATCTAAATGGAGATCGTCACGCTCTTTCAGACTTTCCAAAAGATTTACATTTAGTTGCTGAATAATCGCTTGAAAACGATCCACCAATAATTGTAGAAGCGTTATATTTACACCTGTGAGTAATTGCCTTGATATCCAGCGATGATTTGAGTCCATATTTATGCCCACACTATAAAGCATTGTTCGTATTATGTCCACTATACGCGTGGCGCCATTATTCTGGCTCTAAAATTCGGATAATAAATAATGATACAAAAAGGTACATTCCAAAGAAAATAAATAAACAAACCTTAATTTTCCTTTGTGCTATTTTCCTTGATTGGGCTAAAGCAAGTCGCACCTCTATTTGAAGCTTCGATTGTTTCGTAAAAAAGAAAGCCTGGTCATTAGGTTGCCGTTCCTGCGTTTTCTTCATATTTCCATTTGAATTATTAATATATATTTGTTTATTGTTAATTTGGTGATTTGTATAATCTTTATTATATTTTGTGGAATAAAAAATTGATGGTCTTCGAAGTACTCCACTTGCTAACTTTGGACAAGTTTCAGAATCGGAACTATAGCTTTCAGTGTCCGAGCAGATATCCTTTTTTAATTCTAAGCCTGTAAGATAAAATACAAATGACTTATAAATAAATAAATGCCTTAAAAATCCATCAGCTCTACTTATTAATTTCTGATAGCGCCGTGTTCTTCTTCACATGTTCTACTTAATATTGATATTATATACATATAGTAGAGGGGCATTTTTTGTGCAGTACAACAGCAACATTTCGTTGCTATTTGATGTTATACTCACTTTTAATATTATTTAAGAGATTTTCTTCTTTAAAGGCCAATCTTTTGCAGATTTCATCTCGGTTGTAACGACGCTGTAATGAAAAATTAATCGGTCATTTTTTTAACCTGTTAAATATTGAATACATAAAAAAAATTATGAAACTATTATTATCACAAAATAGACGATCTATCCTCATCCATCATCCTCATCTTCTACGTAGCTGAAAGGGGGTAACGACATACCATGTGCATATCAATTGGCGACATATGTAACTCCACCCATATATTTTTCAGCAGGAGATACCGTAATCCATCGCATTATCGGACCTCAACACATATACATACATATGTACGCTCAAAAGGAATAAAGAAAAAATGTTGGTGGCTCTCCGAGGAGAGCTATTCTTTATCGTAATTAATCCTGCTATAATGGCATTAAACACGGAGGGAAAACTGTTTGGGTTGGTAATGGGTTGATAAACTAACCTTTATTTCAATTTTGTTCGCCATTTTAAAGTGGTTTTGAAATGTTTCCAAGTCCATGTCAAGAGCCACCTTGTATGCATCAAATTGTTCTATAAAAGTATATTTAACGCGTTAGTAAATAAGTGACCATTTTGTTTTTCTGTTTGACGCCTATTTCTCAGAGACTTAAATAGTTAGAGTCACCAAATTTTGTGTGAAGACTCATGAAATATCACAACATACATAAGTAGCATATTTAATTACCTAAGAATTTTGGAGAGGAATTGTTGTTTGCATAAATAATGGGATGTTCCACGTATTGTGCCCAACATGATGAATTGAAGTATCGACTACTTCTTTGTATTTTGATGTTTTCAGCCAAAGGTTTTATTTTCGTACAGTTGTTTTTGATTTCCTCCAAGTAACTTTCAGTTTCACTCATTATATATTTTTGTTGATTACATTTTTTATAGTCAAATTTATCCGGAGGTAGTTGTCGCTCATCATGTGATGACTTTCTACACTTCATTTTTGTTGGTTCATGTCCACATGGTGTATTTTTCAACCTAATTTTTCGACTGTTGTCTTCAGAACTTCGTAATTCATTTATATTCCTTAACGCTTCACCACCATTTGAAAGTTCTGCATCGCTTATCTGAAAGTATAATTGTTAAATAAGCATTTTATAACCTAATTTTTATATATATTTTCTTATACATATCTTTCTCTGTGTTCACTTACCTTAGATAAATTTAAAACATGTAAGCTTTCCATAAGTTGCTTTCTTTTATAACCTGTGAAAAGTAAGTCAAATTCACGTTCTACTTCCTCTCCAAAATCTCCGACAATGTCAATTTTACTTGGTCCAGGGATTTTATCTTTTTTACAAGGCCGTTGAGAATTGTTGATTTTTGTTATATAATTTTCACTAATATTATAAATAAGTTCTGGTTTATTTAACATTTCTGTTGATATTTCTGATAATGTTTTCTCATTTACATCATTATGTATATTTGTTAATGACATTTTTAAAGAAATTTAGTAGCTTTCCAAAAAGAACACAGATCTTTGTTTTGATCTGAATTTCTGGGGTAATTTTCTATTTGGAATTTTAAAATTTTTCCCACTGCAATATTCCTTTTAAGTTCACTCCTGAAAGATATTAATAAAAAAGTATTGCGTAAAAGTTGTTTAAGATATTATTTTATTACGAGTAAAAAGGCATTGCGAAGATCGAAGGACCTTAGCAACTCCTCTCAACTGAAAAAAGTGGGCAAAACTACTTTGGAGTGTTGACTTATCACCCTGAGCCACACTTTGATTTAAATTCGACCGGCAAATTGCATGGTTTGTCCAGTAGAAAAATAACTTTAATAACATAAGGATCGAGAAATGGTTTCATATCAAACATCCTTGGCCCAACAGCCACCCTTTACAAAAAAAAATCAAGTCTCTTCAGCCAGTGGTGTAAGCTGTGGGGCTGTTGATTTTATATTGATAAATAATTATTTTGAATTCACTGATGAAGCGGTTAGGTCATATTCCACTATCATTAGTAGATATGCCATAAAATAAATGTACACACAATATGTACATATATACATAAATGTGCGGTTGTTATTTAAAAAAACACAAAGTTGTAGATAACATTATTTGAAGCCCCGCAATATTAACCAACATACACGATTTCAAGGTTAACCAAGAAGCCTAACAAGCCAATATATTTTAACCTCCCACAAACAAAACATTATCTACAATACATTTAAAATGATGCAAATTATTTCAGCTGTACTTATTCAAATTTATAAGAGATTTTACTTGGAAGCTTTAAAGAAAAAACGGTGACTCGTTGAATTAAATATATGTACATATGTATTTAAACGTCGAACATAAACATTTCGACATCGGCTTGACTCATGCGCAGATAAAAAGGACCCTAACTCAACACTTCACATTGTACATTTGTGTTGGGACACTGCTCTATGGTTTAAATTGTTAGGTTGTCTTTTGGTACATCTATTATGTCTGAAGCTAAAATAAAACGTGAACCAGATTTTTGAGTACGTTTCCAAGCTTCTTTGTAATTATAAACATTGCCATTCTAATTACATTACTGACTCGATTTTTACTCATAGAACAGAACATACTTTGTACATGGTTAAATAAATATTTTTAAAGGCATCCGTATATTTATTTATTTATTTATTTTACATGAAAAACATTTGTTCTGTTGCCCAGATCAAGACCAAGACCAGCGAGAGAAAGAAAGAAGGATGGGAGAAGTGTAGCAGCACAGAATACATTTACACCTCTGGTCACTCTCTGCGGCTAGCAAAATATTTTGCGCGTTTTGCTAGCAAACCTGTTTATACAAATTTATCTTTTTCAAGCCGCTAGCAATCTAACATTTGAGAACTAGGCTTTAACAAAATCCAAATGAAGGTCTACCATACCCATTTTGTTTGACAGGATAATAGTCCTGAAGACCAAAGACAAAGTCTAAACTGGCTTTGTGCTATCGATACATCGATAAGGGATCAACAACCCCTATTAGGCTGATAAGGGAAGAAAATTGCATTTATATTTTAGACAATATTTTCATTGTAAAAGTCAAATATGTCAATTAAATTACTCCGATAAATATAAATAAATAAAACTGTTCAATATGGAGAAATATTTCAATTTTATTCTGAGCATTTTAGTAATGCTACCAGCAATGAAAAATCAAGATGTGTTTGCAAGTAATGTTGTGTTTGGAATGAATGGGTAGGTGCAAAATATCCTTTAAAATCCAATGATTTCAATTTACATATTTATGTATTGATTGTGTTGATTTTTTGGAATTATGTTTTTGAAATTTTTAGAAACCTCCAATATGATTCTCGGCTTATGCTTGTGAAAATAGAGGTCGCCAAGTAAACAACGAATACTGACGATTGCCTGTCACTTTGTTAGTTATATGCGGTACTCCTAGATTTAAGAGGCTTTTATGTTTGTGGTTGAAGTTGTGTGCGCAACACTCAGAATGAAACGTTTCCGACCCTATAAAGAAGATTTATTTTTGACCAGCATCAATTTTGCATCCAGACTGCCGTATATCACACTGTTACAAGTGTATTTAAAAATATACACATATGTTCATATAATGTACAATCAGTGCCCAGGCCGCTCATTACCGTTACAGGTACCGGCGAGCAACTCCGTTTGACACGGCCAGGACTTACTTTCTGCATTCCGTTATGTGTTTTCGGGAATCTACCTGTAGTTTTGTATCGGTTTGCGAAACTGGGAAAATAGTTATCTTTAGCAAATTGAATAATGAAAATAGCATTGTCTTTTTATTGTACAATTTTATATTTGGATACCTCGATAACAATAGTCCAAGTGAATTGGTTCATAAAGAAGCACTTCTTCGCCCGAAACCGGAGTGTAGCTTGATTGCGATTATTCTCTTATGTTACCGTTGCCAGAAGTATAAGTATTGTTACCGGCTTGTTACCAATTGTGGCCTGTAGGATGTTGTCAGCCATATTTTCGACAACGCTTTGCTCGTTTGAAGGGAGCTTGCCCCCTAGTACAGATTTATTTTATCTGATGTTGTTTTTTACAGTTTTCAGCAATCTTCAGGAATTTGTCATTTATACAATGGTACCATTTGTCAAGATGTTTTAAGAAACGTCCACGTTTTTATATCGCCGAATCTCACCATGAATGTCATAGAGGAACGACTGAAAGCCGCTTATGGTGTAATCAAAGAATCAAAGTAAGCTTTTTTTTTAAATTATAAAATCCTTTGGAAATTATTAAGATTCCTCCTTTCAGGGATATGAATTCGAATTGTCGAATGTATGCCTTACCCAGTCTATGCTTCAGTTCGCTACCAATTTGTCGAACTCCTGAACGAACAAATCTATTGTACTTTGCAAATGTCGCAACGAATGCCAAGCGTATGAAATTTCAAAATACAACGACACGAAATAAGAGGACTAAAACTAGAGATATTAAAAACATAAATATGTTTTTAAAAAAAAAGTCCACTGTTTATGAGGATGTGTTCAGAAACGATATTTCGAGTAACTACCCACCAACTAGAGAATCTGAAAATGTAAAACGCATTTGTCGGGAAGAATGCGAACTTTTAGAAAATGAACTTTGCCAAAAGGAGTATGCCATTGCCAAGAGACATCCCGTCATTGGTGTGGTTGGAGTAGAAGATTGCCAAAAGTTACCACCACATAAAGACTGTTTGTCTTTGGGAATAACTATTGACGTAGATGAAAATGAGAAATGCTACTGGGAGAACGGTTCAAGCTATAGAGGGATACAAAATTCATCAGTATCTGGAAAATCTTGTTTAAGATGGTCTTGGTTAATGAAAGAAATATCCGACTTTCCCGAACTTATTGGTCAAAATTATTGCAGGTATGTGTGTTTCCAACCCTTTATTTTACTGAAAGCGAATTTTTATCTGTCTGATATTTGTACCTGAGTTAAGCGTTTAGTAATTATTTTTAAAGATTCAATGATACCGCCGGATAAAAATTAAAAATTTGTTTTCTTTTTCTTTCTAGGAATCCCGGAAATGTTGAAAGTAGCCCTTGGTGTTTTGTGGATTCTTCGAGTGAACGATTTATTGAACTTTGTGATATTCCCAAATGTGCTGAAAAGATTTGGATAACCATTGCTTGGACGACCGGAGCAACCATCATTGTTTTCATAATATTTTTGTCCATATTACTTTTTCAAAGGAGAAATTTTATGCACTATGGGATGAGCAATATTCAAAACGTATGTAATGGAGCTAACAAATTATTTATTTAGCGAGCATAACATTCTCAAGAAAGACAGTATTGGGCTTCGATTGATAAATAATGTTCGTTATTCCGTTTGGTTTCAGCGCATACGAGAAGGTCTTTACATATTAAGTTCGACAGCTTATGAACTTTTTCTTGAGACTGTTTTGTCTGCTTACAGCCTTTTGGCATTAGACTTCACACCCATACTAATGATTGCAATTTTACTCTTCAGATAAATACACCTAGTGCTGATAAAAATATATATGGAAATGCACAGTTTAGCTCTAACCAAGATGTGGGAAGAATTCATCTAGGCAATATTTCGGATAATATTTCCATAGGACCTAAGACCTCGGAACGAAACACTATGTTGAGAATATCACATTTCACATTGCAAGACGTTGAGTTCTTAGAAGAGCTGGGCGAAGGAGCTTTTGGCAAGTTATTTCATTAAATATTTTATGTTTTTTGTATAACAACAAATGTATACATAATTCCAGGTAAAGTATATAAAGGACAACTGAAACAATATAATAAAACCGTCACAGTTGCTATCAAGGCCCTGAAAGAAAACGCTTCATTGAAAACGCAACAAGATTTTAAGCGTGAAATTGAACTAATATCGGACCTAAAGCACCAAAATATTGTCTGTATATTGGGTGTAGTTTTGAATAAAGAGCCTTACTGTATGCTCTTCGAGTATATGGCTAATGGTGATGTGCACGAGTTTTTAATTTCGAACTCACCAAGTGAAGGTAAATCACTTACACAGCTGGAATTTCTACAAATTGCATTGCAAATCAGCGAAGGAATGCAATATTTATCAGCTCATCATTACGTTCATCGGGATCTGGCTGCTCGTAACTGTTTGGTCAATGAGGGATTGATCGTCAAAATTTCTGATTTCGGATTGTCCAGAGATATTTACAGCTCAGATTATTACCGGTACATAAATATATATATAACCTTTGGCTAATTTGGCTCATTTAATTCAATTTATATTTGTGTTTTAAGGGTCCAGTCAAAGTCGTTATTACCTGTACGCTGGATGCCATCAGAGTCTATTTTATATGGAAAATTTACAACAGAAAGTGATGTGTGGTCATTTGGAGTACTGCTTTGGGAAATATACAGCTATGGAATGCAGGTAAATTCTGTGATACGATTTGGATTCTATATACCTACATATATTTCATATTTTTGCAGCCATATTACGGCTATAGTAACCAAGAAGTAATCAGCTTAATTCGGTCAAGACAGTTACTTTCCTCTCCAGAAAACTGTCCAGCAGCAGTTTATTCTCTTATGATAGAATGCTGGAATGAGCAATCAGTAAAACGTCCTACATTCACAGACATTTCGAACCGTTTAAAAACGTGGCATGATGGGCATATTAATGAAAATAACTAAGTAAACAATGATAGTTGTATGTTCGCTATGATATTACATTTTCTACAAATCTCAGTTAATATACGTTTAAGTTTTCAATGAAATAAAAAACTTAGTCATGTGATTACTGGGTGTTGGGCACAAATTTTAACTTACTAACGTACTTTCGACTCGTTATTGATATTAGAACTGGCTCGTAAAAGATATCATAAAAGGTCAGCAAACGATTCCTTTTTGCGATGGCTTAAAAAGTTTAATTCCATTTTGTTCCCATAATTATCAATTTCCGTTTACTTTTTGTACATATTTGAGGATATGTGTATGTAATAAGGATATTAAATAAATATTATATGGTCAAAATGGCTCCGGGGTCACCGGAAAACGTCTGTAATTCGGGGCCTGGTCCAAATGGTAGCCCCCAGCACGCAATATGTTGAATGCAGATCTGCGGCGGTCATACCGACCTGGTTGAACGTCGAAAAGGGGAAAGACCGAAGCCACGCCATGCCCAACAGGTGAAATTCCTACTTGAAGTTTTAAGCTATTAAACCAGCTATGCCTTTATCTGCTCTTTCCCTTTACCCCCTAACCTGGAGTACAGATAACCCCTAGATGGCGTTAAAAGAAGTTCGACCATCAAATCTTTAACTCTTCGAGTACCGGGTCTAAAAATATAAACTATTAACTGTATTTGCATTATTAAACGAACAACTTTTTACAAGACTCCAAATATTCCATTTTTATTTTGTTGTTTCTGTAGAAGGCTAAGAATTGTATTACATATTACATCTCTTATATTTTGTTAAATGCAGCTATGTCAACGCTTTGGACAAAATCTTCTAATTTTTCTATTTCTTCAGTAAGCCAATCAATAGAAACTTTATCATCCTCAACAACACATGATATACTTAATTTCTTAATTCCAAAAGCGACTGGGACAAGTTTAGAAGCTCCCCATAGTAATCCTTCCAAAGTAATTTTTCGGATTTCCACTTCCATAGCTCCGAGGTCAGTTTCATCATCCCATGGCTTAACGTCTAAAATTAGACTTGACTTTGCTATTATGGTAGCTTTAGTTGATTTCTTAGCTTTATAAGCGGCCAGTCGTTCCTCTCTTATGCGCACAGTCTCCTGAGTTTCTTCTTCACTATCAGAAGCAAATAAGTCGACATCATCATCCTCTTTCAGGTTACCATTGGAAATACTCAGCCGATTCTCAACGGCTTGGAGGCGCTTCAATACATCGGAGTGTTCTTGTAATAATTTAACAAATTTAGATCTAAGATCCGCATTTTCATTTTCTAGTAGCAATATTCTGTCTAGAACCTCCGACCTGCTCGTATCATTGGTAAAATCAATCTGAAATAAAGTATTTTTAGTTTATTAGAGACCAAATGTATAGTTCAACATAAAAAAGTAGATACAATTATAATATAGAAAAATTATGTACGAGAAATTGTTAAGAAAGTCGTAGGTCATATAGTGCTTTTCTCTATCGGGAAGGTTATTAAACGAATCTTATTAGATCCACTAGAAACTTTATTCCATTAATACTTCCACTTTATAGATCGAATTGTGCATTGCATGAGCCATTTATTGTCCTATGTTCGAACTATACTTTCCTGTACCTGTGCAAATAAAATACTTTTCCTGTGGCTAGTTATATTTTTGGTTTATTTTCCACAAATATTAGTCTAACACCAATCTTCAAAGTTCGCGACCGGTTTGGTTCTACGAGTAGTGCGACATGCGGCTGCTCCCCTCTGTTGGGTCTCTCATAGACCACTTAATTGATGCATTCACATAAACATGTCAACAACATAAACATATCTATCAATGCATAGATGCATCAATTAGCCGTACAATCGAAGCTTACTTTTGGAGACAGCGAGTCTAAGAGATTTAAATGCATCCTAACCTACAAATTATTAATCTGTCCAACAACCAGGGATATGGTTGCGAGACAAAGTAAACACAATTTAAGAAAAACAAAAAAAAATAAAATTACTTTTACCTTTTCCAGAGAGGTCTGTATATGTTCTCTAGCCTTTGCAATTTCGGACACTAAAGGGCTGTAGTGGTGGCTCACCTGCAGCGGTGTAACCTTAAAAATAAGACCAAAATTGATAAGAGTCTTGTGTGTTTGCATGGAGTAGATCGAATTGGGGCATACATTTGTATACCCGGTACTTAATGAGTTAAAGGGTACATATTATAGGGTATATTATATTTGTGTTCGAAGTGGATGTATGTATGTACATACTTACATATATGTACTTTTATGAATATCATATATGTAAAATGTATGTATGTAGAATCGGAAGCATCTATTAAGAATAGTGTTCTTATACTTTCGACTATTCGGATCACGGAAAAAAGGAACTTACCTTAAGTACGTCTTCGTAAAACCTTTTTTCTGCTAAATTATATCGGCCCTTATCCGTCCAAAACAAGTCCAAAGCTTCCACTCTCATTCTGATTTTTTTTTTGCACGTTGGTAAATAGGACGAATAGAAATATACAAGATTTCGATTTTGAAATTATACAACAGACAGATGGCGTCAAGATGACGACGGATGTTCACTGTCCTATATACAATGGAACGAAGGAAACTGGAACACAAACTTGAAATTTATCCATACGAAATACTTTATTTGTGTTCTCGTAATTCCTAATATCCCATGAAAGTTTTCTTTGACGAAAGCAACTCATGAATACAACAAAACATGAGATTCTTATTGGTATAATTTAATTTTAAATAAAGTAGTAGTAGTAGTCAGTAGGCATGAAAAAACTACAAACAATCAATGCTATCTCTATCTAAATTCATATGGAAAAGCGTCGCTAAACTAATTTGGAATGCTCAATATTGCCAATATGCTTCAGCAAATACAGTCAACCGGCGAATCATGAATTTGACTTGTCAGCTTAAAATGCAAGCTCGTGGTGGGTCTGGTGGTTGACTTTATTCGGCAGGCATATTGCATGTTTGCAGTTGAAAATAGGAGATACAACACTTGTTCATTGCATTTCCGCACCGTTGGATCGGACTTATTCAATAATGAAGTGCTTTTTGCATGTAGTACGTTTATACAAGATTTGCATTTTTTTCAAATTTTTTTTTTATAAAGAAACACAAAACAGAATATCCCTAGAGCATGAACTCTGCCCAGTTTGGTCACACTGGGCATCGAGCAAAATTATCGCTCTTCTGTCGACATTATATGTGCGGCATCTATTATGCACTAGGAGTTAGGTATAGTGTAGTACAATCCCTTCACAAATACATTAAGCCAGTTTTATGAATATCATAAAATCATTTTTGTGAACACTGTAACAAAAAAAACTACCTTATTTTTTATTGTGTGAAAAAGAAATACCGCAAACTCTACGAAAAAGATGTGCGAAAATAATAAATAAATTTCCTGTGGTCTTCTAAGATTATGTTGCTTTCCATAACACGAATCAGCTATTAAGTCGCAAAACCTGAGTCTGCAAAAGTGCTGGTATCAGATTACCTGTCTTCCCCTGAATTAACAAGCGTTTCAAGAGTTTCATAATATATACCAAATGCATTGTCTTGTTGAATACAGTCTAGTAAAACTAAAATTTTTCCTTTAATGTTTTCTTATCAAGTTCCAAATGCTATGTCTGTCAATCGATATATTATATTATTCTTATTTTCGAAAGTCTGGCAACTTCTAGATTTAGACGCCTCTAAGAACGCGGAAATTTGAATTGGCCTTTTAATTTATAAATTTAGAAATGGAGGACTTTGAGAAAATTGAAAAGATTGGAGAAGGCACCTATGGTGTGGTTTATAAAGGCCGCAATCGACTCACAGGTCAAATTGTGGCAATGAAAAAAATTCGCTTGGAGTCTGACGACGAAGGAGTCCCGTCCACTGCTATCAGGTAAGGCTAACTCGTTTTGAACACCCCAACATTTGTTCAATGTTGCCTTTTTTATGTAAGTGTATTATTACACGTTATTACATTCTCTCTCTCATGTGTATGTCCCATACATACCTAAGTGTAATGTCTCTATTTATTTATGCTGCATTTTGAACGGGGCTATGCTTTCAAAGCCGAGTGTGGAGCTTAGCTTAGATATTTTGATACATTCGGATGTATATGCATATGTATGTATGTATGTACCTATGTACATTCTAAAGGCACACAATTAAGAAAATGCTTTTAGTTAAACTACAAACCGAGATGAGTATAGCGGCTTAATGGTATATGTGTATATGCACATACATATGTATGTACATACAGTAGGCACTCATATTATTCGTACACCATGATCACTCTTGTCACTAGAGTCTAGTTTGAACAAATATAACTTGGCGTACGGTCAACGTAAAGAGAAAGAGTTGCAAACAAAAAGCAATTAAAATTTAAGTATATGAAACGTACAATTAACATTTTTTTTGTCTTTATGATGTCTAAAACCCCTTTCCCAAGGTATTGGTGCCCTATGCACTAATATTGACACTACATTGACCAGTTCCAAGTGAGAGCGGAAGCGACAATAGCAATGTTTTTTTTATTGATCTTGCTCTTACGGATTAGTACTTGCAAACGTTCCTTTTTCGGTCACGTCTATATTATTTTCTTATCGTTTTTATTTTAGAGAAATTTCTTTACTCAAAGAACTAAAACATTCAAATATCGTCTGTTTGGAAGATGTATTAATGGAGGAAAACCGCATTTACTTGATATTTGAATTTTTATCAATGGATCTTAAGAAATATATGGACTCGCTACCCCCAGAGAAACTTATGGATAGCAAACTTGTGCGAAGCTATTTGTTTCAAATAACAGATGCAATTTTATTCTGCCATCGTCGAAGAGTCTTGCATCGGGATTTGAAACCTCAAAATTTACTTATTGACAAAAATGGCCTAATTAAAGTTGCCGACTTTGGCCTGGGAAGATCTTTTGGCATTCCAGTACGCATATACACTCATGAAATTGTTACTCTGTGGTACAGAGCACCCGAGGTATTACTGGGCTCTCCACGATATTCATGTCCCGTCGACATATGGTCCATTGGATGCATTTTTGCCGAAATGGCAACGCGGAAACCCCTTTTCCAAGGAGACTCTGAAATCGATCAATTATTTAGAATGTTCAGGTAATTATACTGCTTCATTTTAAATTATTTTGTTTGATTTAACATTTACTTACTTTCACTGGTTCGGTACTAAAATGATGGTAGTAACGCCTCAGAGGAAGAAAATGTAGTTGTGACGCATCGAGCAACGTTCGTCTTAGTTTCTCATAACAATAACTAATCTTAATTTGCTTTTATTATTTTACAGAATTCTCAAAACACCAACTGAAGACATTTGGCCAGGCGTAACTTCTCTTCCCGATTATAAGAATACTTTTCCTTGCTGGTCAACAAATCAATTAACAAACCAGCTTAAAAATCTCGATGCCAATGGTGTTAACCTTATTCAAAAGATGCTCATTTATGATCCAGTGCATCGTATATCAGCAAAAGATATTTTGGCTCATCCCTACTTTGATGGCTTTGAAGCAGATTTAATTTCAAGCTAACTTTCGTAATATTGATTCAAATTAAACATTTTATCAACCAAAAACTTGTTCATATTTAAATTTACATGATTTTTCAAAGTAAAGGGGACTGGGGCATACCCTCCCTGAGTTGAGGTAGCTCGGACTGTTTAAATTTAGTACAAAGTAGTGTGAGTATTTATATGGGATTATTCTGATATTTTGTTTTAAAATCCAGAGATGGAAAGCGCTCTTAAGCAAGCCACTCTCTCTACGGCAGATCTGTTTGCATGTATATTTTATAGGACTTTTTATGATTATGAGATTCTGATATATTTACTCTGATATACATGGACGGTGAGTGCTAATGCATCCTAGTGGTCGAAGAGTCCATTATGGGTGCATTGAACAGTTTATACTTATATACATATGTATGACGAGTCTCTGTAGGAACCAGAAAGCGTAATACCACGCGTCTTTATGTCTATGGGCCAGCCACAGACCAGAAGCTGCCCTGCGTTAAAGGCTTTTATATCCTGGGTTCTTGTAACAGTGCTAAGGGTGGATTTAGGCTGGCCAAGACATTCTCTTGTACAAGCGGTAAGAAAATTGAGACTCTTAAATCCGTTGCGTACTGTGCCGGAGACTATATTAATCAAATTTGTCTCCTGTTCGGATAATGAATGTTGGAAATATTGATTTGTGTCGTGTGGAAAAATTGCGGTCCATCTATACGTCGAAGCCTCTCTCTCTCTCTCTTAAAGGCGGGCCAGAAGTGCCCACAGGTTATCATTTTCACAATTCTTTGTAAATTCCTTCAACAGAATACGCCCACTAGTCGTAGCTAAGATCAAAAGGAACTGATCAGACCAAAAAGAGGCTTTTTACGGAACTGAATACAGCTCAAACGTTTTTATTTACTAATACACATAGCACAATATAATACATAATCAACATTATATATATAACATTTCAAATAAATGTATTATTACAAACCAAATTATATTGCATTGGTTTGCTGCCATGAGGAAACATTTCTATTACATGTAGTTAATTTTTAGAAATGCATTTTGCTTTATTGTTCATCTTTTAAATTGATTGTATCAACGTTGAGACTCTTGGACATAAACGTTAGAATGTCCGTTGCCTCCTCAATTTTCTTCGAGGTGGGTTTGCCGGCACCATGTCCTGCTTTTGTATAAACCCTCAATAACAGAGGATTTTTTTGATATTTGGAATTGCGTACAGCATCCTGCAAAGCGGCAGTAAATTTGAATGAATGCAAGGGGCTGACCCGATCATCGTGATCGGCTGTCAAAATCAAAGTTGATGGATACTCCTCTTCATTGCTACTGGGTGTGTGCACATTATGTAGTGGAGAAAACTTGTAAAGATTTTCAAAGTGCTCCTTTTCTGATGGATTTCCATAATCTGAACACCAGGCATGTCCAATGGTGAATTTATGAAAACGCAACATATCCATTACTCTGTTGAATATTAAAAATGTAGTGTATTTTTTTAAATGAATTCAAAAACAAACAATTTGTAGTGCACATGAAAATATATACGAACCCAACTTGTGCAACAGCAGCTCCAAACAAATCGGGGCGTTGATTGATGCAAGTTCCGACAAGAAGCCCTCCGTTCGAGCCACCTTGAATAACTAAACGGTCTTTGGAGGTGTAATTATTATCAATTAAATACTCAGCAGCTGCTTGGAAGTCGTCAAAGACATTTTGCTTGTTTAAAAGGCGACCACCATTATGCCATTTCTCGCCATATTCTCCACCGCCACGTAAGTTGGGATAGGCTAATACGCCATCAAATGTATCTATAAACATAAGTCTTTACGATTGGTTAGATAGAAATTCAATATTATTAACAATACTTACCCAGAGAGTCCAAAACAAGGCAGCATACTAATATTGAAGCCACCATAACCGTAGAGAAGGCAAGGTCTCGGCTTAATAGTATCTCGTTTCGTACGAATTATAAACATGGGTACCTTAGTACCATCCTTACTTTTATAAAATATCTGTTCAACAATGTAGTTTTCTCGACTGAAACCTTCCAAGTTGAGCTTTATTTCGCGAAACACTTTTGGCGGCTGCTCTGGGGTTTTAAAATCAAATTGATAAATAACTCCAGGGCTCAAAAATGAAGAAAAATTGTAAAAAATTTCCGAATACTTCTTCTCGCCTGACGTTCCTACAATGGTACCGATCTCTAAATCAAATTCTCGCAATAGTTTTCCAGTTCGAAGACAATTGGCTTGCAAAACGGTCTAAAATGAAATCAATTAATTATTTATTATCTTAATTTTTTGGTTTAATTTGCTTACTTTTACATCTCTAATATAACATAGCAGTAGCTTGTCTTCATCCACGCACCTAACCCAGTCTAACACATCAGTCTTGTGCTCCTAAGTGATTGAATACGTTAATACGTTTGTTAATTATAATGTTATGTTATCATAAACAAATTAATTACTTACTGCTATTAGAGTTTCCCAATTGTTTTCTTCTGGTTTCTCGAAGTCAATAATTATAACTTGATAATTGGGTGCCGATTTATTTGTACGAAAATACACCTTTGACCCTTCGTTGGTAATATACTAAAAAACATATACATGTAGGAAAATATTTTAAATCAATACGTTAGATCAATAAATACCCCACAAATTTTATAAAATGCATGCATTGGATTTGTCCGATCCGAGTTTGAATACGTGAGTACCCCAAACTCCAATGGTACTCGTACTCTTAACATTTTAAATGTTTAGAAATAAAACTAGTTACTTACATCATAGTCTGCTTCAAATTTCTCCACAACTTTTTTAGTATTTAGTTTTGAACTGATTGCTTTACCCGGTTCAAGGTCTGCAAAGTACACAATGTTGTCTCGACAATCCTTGACGATGGCCAGTATTAAATATTTTCCACAATCAGAGACTACAGATTGACTGAAAAATAAATATGTTAGGTTTAATTAAATGCATACCCAAACGGTATTTAATGATTAATTATTTTTTAAGGATTGGTCAAAGACATTATCTAAAAATGATTTAAAGGACATCACCGATAGCTACAAAAATTAATCTTACATGCGCCAATTAGGTTCCTCCGGAAATTCCACAACAAGGGTATCTTTATCCTGACTTTCTCCCAGTCGATGATAGTATAGTTTTTGATGTTCATTTTGACTTGTCTCAGAGCCATCTGTTTTCCCACTTTGCTCAGGATATCTCTATATTAAAATTATATTGGTATCAATAAAAACGAGGAGGAACGTTGAGAAACGCTGCTTAATCAGCGTCACTACTTTTATGTCCGGTACTCAGTCAGTATTTACATACATATGTACGTATGTATGTACATGCATTCATAGTTTTAATATATATACATTTTAATCGAATAATACATTTTAAATTCAATATATGTAGATATGTATGTATGTACCACGTGTGTATTTAAAAATATCAACCTGTCTTTTTACTATTACTTACACAATAAAAAAATCCCTTATTATCTTTGGTCCATGATATTTCTGAAAACTTAACCTTGTTAAGTATTTCATCCAGGTCTTTACCAGTCTCGGTATTTCGAATAAGTATCTTGATCCAATCGGACCCACTTTCACTTAATCCATATGCCATAAAGCTGCCGTCATCTGAAAATGACTTTTGAGCCAAGGCAATTGTACCATCATCAGATAATTGATTGGGATCGAGGAATTCTTTGCTTTCTCCACTCAACGATGTTTGTTGATACATAACGCTCTGATTTTGCAGACCGGTATTCATAAAATAATAATAATATTTTCCATGTTGCATGGGGCAGCCATATTTGGCATAATTCCATAATTTGGTGAGTTTTGAGTTAATTTTTTTCCACTCATTGCAATTTTCCAGGAACGGCCGACTTATATTATTTTGAGACGTAACAAACACTTGCGTTTCTGTTGAATCCGGATCCTCAAGCCAACGGTATACATCTTTCAATTGAGTGCCATGGAAGGTATCTTCCACAGCTTCGTCTTTCCGAATAGTTGGATATACAATAGGCTCTATGACTTTTTTTGATAAAGCCAGAGGATTTTGATCAGCAATTTTTGACATTTCTCGTAAACCTTTGATAAATTGTACACACAAACATACACATGTAAAAGAAAATATTAATCATTGCTTTTAATTGTCTGTCAATCATTATCATTAAATATCATGCAAATAACTTACAAACAAACCGAGGGTGTGAGGTTCGAGGCAAAAAATCAAGTAAACGTTGAAATGAAAATGAAACCCGGAAATTTCGATGCATTTGCAGTTCTATCTACAATAAATTTATAAGAAACTCGATAATTCGTTCCGATATTCTTTAAGGTGTTTCAATAATTTTTCGATATATTGGGTACTCCTGGGTGTGACTAAATTTAAAAATGTAAGGACTGTTCAGACCTGGACTGCGTCATGCTTCTTTGCGTCTTACAGGAGACGCTGATTTTTGCTACATAGATTAAGCATAGGGGCCTAGTGATCGAAAAAACTTGCTTGGCTTTCTAATTCATGTGCGTCTATTCGAAATATTAGTTTGCTTTTTCTCAATTTTGCACATTTGTTCGAAAAACAAAAAACCGCTGGACGATAGAAGATGTTTGTGCAGACTCTGCACGACCTATGGGAAGAGAACATACATGAATTTCCAGTGATCGTATATGAGAAAAAGCTGGAGGAGACTGCTTAAAATTCGGGATATTTAAAAAAAAATAACTCTTAACTATTTGAAACCCGGCAATAATATTTTAGTACGACAATATATATCTAATAGCTGGCTAACAATGTTTATACATTAAGGATTGTTATTTAAAAGTGGTGCGAAACAGTGTTCCTTATAGCTCCAAACCGTGTGTTCGAAATTGGACTTGATCGGTGTCTGCAGCTTCCTTCCGTCTGTCAGGGGCTTCTCAATTATGGGTGGAGCAGATATCGTGAAGGATCTAGCTGCTGGAGGTGGAAATTCTTCATGCATGCTATAATAATAATCCAATCTGGCCCTTATTCATGGATCTGACAGATTTGAACAAAATTTTCGTATGTATATAATAATATATATAATATGTTAATATCAAATATAAATATATATATTGTATGAATTGGGCGACGGAAAAGTTAACACGTCTGAATACGAGCCCTTGATATAGGCTAGAAACCATTAGTGTTCCATTTTATCTGTTCCAAGAAAATGAACCATACCGAATTTCTTAAAAATAATTGCAACCTTGTGAAGTCCGATATTTCCGGTCACGCTTGCGGTTTGGTTCTTTCTTTCTTTTAATTCTGTCGTCGCAATAGGGTAAGCATTTTTCTTCTCCTAAAATTTCGAAGTTTAGGGAGTTAGACTAGCGTAGATAATTATAAGAAATAGATTCAATGGAAGTGTAACTTATTGTGCAATATTTTACTCCTTGGTTCAGTAAAATAAAAGCGGTGCATAACATTTAAAAGCAGTTTAAAATATCAAGGCATTTTATTTAAGGTAAGTTATAAGTTGTGTTTGGGCTGTTCGATTCTGAGCAACTGAGTGTGTACCCATACATTTCCGCCTTAAACTGTATCAAAATGTAACTTCCGACTTATATTTCAGCGCTACAGACTGTAATCATGCCTCAAAATGAGTATATGGATCGTCACAGAAAGCTGTACGGAAGGCGGCTTGATTACGAAGAGCGTAAACGTAAAAAGGAAGCACGTCTTCCTAAAGAGAGAGCCCGTAAAGCGCGGAAGTTACGCGGAATCAAAGCAAAATTGTTTAATAAGGAGCGTCGAAATGAAAAGATTCAAATTAAAAAAAATATTCAGGCACATGAGGAGAAAAAACTGAAGAAACAAGATGAGAAGGTTGAGGATGGAGCTTTACCGCATTATCTGCTTGACAGGGGAGTCCAGTCAAGTGCTAAGGTGCTGTCCAATATGATCAAGCAGAAACGCAAGGAAAAAGCTGGAAAGTGGGACGTGCCCATACCTAAAGTTCGCGCTCAGTCAGATGCTGAAGTGTTCAAGGTTCTAAAGACTGGAAAAACAAAGCGCAAAGCATGGAAGCGAATGGTTACAAAAGTGACATTTGTGGGAGAGAATTTTACTCGAAAACCACCTAAATTTGAACGTTTTATTCGACCAATGGGACTGCGAATGAAAAAAGCACATGTGACCCATCCAGAGTTAAAAGCAACCTTCCATTTACCTATTATCGGTGTTAAGAAAAATCCAAGTTCACCAATGTTTACATCGTTGGGTGTCATTACCAAAGGCACTGTAATAGAAGTTAATATCTCTGAGCTGGGATTGGTGACACAAACTGGAAAAGTAGTGTGGGGAAAATATGCACAAGTTACAAACAACCCAGAAAATGATGGTGTTATTAATGCAGTACTTCTGGTTTAGTGGATCAAGAAATATCTTTTTAAACTTAAATTTTGCCAATAAATCCAGATCTAGACAAAAGAAAAGCGTTTAATTATAATATTTAGTGTTTTTTTATATTAAATTTATATATTAACTTGGTACTTTGAATTATTTTTTTCAGTTTGGTGACGACTAAGCCATGCAGATCTTTGTTAAGACCCTAACGGGCAAGACCATAACTCTTGAGGTCGAACCGTCGGATACCATCGAAAATGTCAAAGCCAAGATTCAGGACAAAGAAGGAATTCCTCCAGATCAACAGCGTTTGATCTTCGCTGGCAAGCAACTGGAAGATGGCCGTACCCTGTCTGATTATAACATTCAGAAGGAGTCCACCTTGCATTTAGTACTGCGTCTTCGTGGTGGCGCCAAGAAACGCAAGAAGAAGAACTATTCCACTCCTAAGAAAATTAAGCACAAGAGGAAGAAGGTCAAGCTAGCAGTCTTGAAGTACTACAAGGTATATACTCCTGCCGACTTGGAAAATATGATAGAGATCTGTTCTTGGAATTCTTGAGTTTTGATCTTGCGCTTGGTTGACTTAACTTCTTTTTGATTGACTCCATTACTAAAGTCTGATGATTTAACTCTATTTAACATTCAACAGGTTGACGAGAATGGAAAGATTCATCGTCTGCGTCGTGAGTGCCCTGGAGAGAATTGTGGGGCTGGAGTTTTCATGGCCGCTCACGAAGATCGTCATTATTGCGGAAAATGCAATTTGACATTTGTCTTCAGCAAACCCGAAGAAAAGTAATTCAAATGCCAAACGGCTGATTTTGAACATTTATGTTTGCATTCAACAAATAAAGATTGTAATTGATTTACACAATTGATAACAGAAAAATATACTATCTTTCCATTACAAAGCTGTGCCAATAGCTTACAAGTTCTTTGATATGATGTATGTACACAAGTACGTACATACCTTTGCTTATTCTTTTTTCTTTTTCATGAGGCAGCATGCGAGCGAGAGAGAAGAGGCAAAATTAAACATGTGTTAGAAGGGGTGTGGGGTTTTCACTAGACATGATCTGATAGATATGGCCATTCTCTGCGGAACTGCGTTTTTGGTTTCCTCATATCTTCAAAATTGTGGATGTAACCGATTTAGGCCTTTGTGGGGCTTGTAACTTGAAACAGTGTGATACCACATCAGTCTGGCTGTAAAATATTTTATGGGTTCTGAGATCAAGACGGACGGATGGACAGACATAGGGTCTGAAAAGTATTCTATCTGTGCGTTACATTAGTATGTATGTACACAAGTACATCCATATTGCGTAGAAACATAATGTTTGATCGAGAATCGAATCAAATTAGATTCGATGCGAAGAGTTAGCTGGATCGGTGAATATGCGAAAGTTTTTATTGAAAATGAAGTGCATATATAAATTCAAAAATATATTCCTTGCTTTAATTCTTTATAGAATGTGTCCCGAAATATAGCAATAAAAGGGAGAGCTGTTTTCTTCTTTAAATGGATTGGCAGTCGAAATGGAGTATTATTTCGGAGAGAGGCTGCAGTCCGACAAGAATATTATAGGAGCTATTCTCCAAGGGAAAGTTCTGCGGATATTATAATTAGCTAAATTTTGCAAATTATTCCACCATCCCGCTGCGATATTCCTAATCTGCTCGTTTCTTTGCGAAATTTATTCGATCATTTTCCAATACAACCATAAATAAATGCACTCAGATCGAAAAATGAAAATTCCTGAAAAATTCAAATTATGACTGACAGGACAATGGAAAAACAACAACAAAAGACATCCCAACAGAAACAAATAAGCAGGAGGAGCACAAAACTTAAAAACAAGAACTTAAATAACAATGGAAGAAAGAGCAGAGAATGCATGTGGTAAGTTTGATAGATTTATATTTTATTTTTACATATTATTAATATTTTACACTATTTGCAGCAAAAGAAGAGAACGGCAGGTGGAACTGACAGAAAAATATTGCAGATTTGCGTGGATCCCAAAATAACATGGAGAAAAGGCACCTAGAGAAGCAAAAGAGGCACTCTTCCAGGAGATAACCAACAGCCAAAAAAGTTCCAAACTAAATTTATGCATTTTCCAATGAGTTTCAAATGAAGGCTTTGATTGAATTTAGCTTATACAAGTTTCTATTGCCGATCGTACCAACTTTGTTGACTGATTTTAATAATTTTAGTTTTATATTACTGTAAGCAATAAGTTGTTTCAGTAAGTTCCCAATTTTCATTAACTAAGCAGTTGACCATATTTAACATGATGTGCAAAGTGCAACAAAGATAATGTTGCCATTGTTTGTATGATGGCTTTGGAAGCTTTTAAATGTCTAACTTTACCAGTTTTTGTATCATGGTGTGTGGGGGGTGGATGGTGCCAGTGCGAGCCGATGTTTCACATATTCCGACTATTTCCAATGCTTCTCCGGAAAGGTAGCGATATTTTCCATATCATTTGTATACATATAAAATATCGATAGTTTTTAACAAATGTATTAGCTTATCGCGTATATTTTCTGGCTTTTAAGTTTGATACATTTAATCAAGTAATTAACATAGCATAGCTTATTGTATACAAAAAAAAAAACACGGAAGATACATATTGAGAACAACTTACAATACAAATATCAACCAATTATTTACTCATAGTGTATAAAGAAAATTTCACATCTACAAATATACGTGTTACGTGTACATATGTGTACGTATGTGTTTTTATATATTGTTTGTTGATATTACCTGTTAGGTAAATATTAAATATTCCTGTAATAATTCCACTAAGTGCCATATTTTGATTCAATATAATAGGAAATACATGTTGCAGTAATACAAATTTTAAGTAAGCAACTGGATTTTTAAGTATATCGAATGGTATGCATTTTAAAATTAGTTGTGACATACATACATTCATATTTACACTCATACAGACAGTGTGTGTACATATGTATGTATGTTCATATATCTGCATACGGTTTATGACATACAAAGAAGGTTGATGGTCAGTTTTTTACTTTGTGCACAAATCCCATACAAAAATGTTCTCCTTAATTTTCTCTTCTAAAAAGTTCGCCACAAAAATTGTACATTTTGTATTTGTAATTTGCCTCAAACAAAATTAAGTTATTGAGAACAACATATACAAACATACATGTGTATGTACATATGTATACATATAAGACACATGGGAAATAATTGGAATAAACGTCATAAAAGTTAATAAGTTAGTCTTCCCTCGGACACTTCAAGCTAAATAGTTTTAAAATATTCGAACTTGTACTGTTAATACATGCTGAGACGTACATATTTATGTACATACAAACACACATATTTACGTAAATAAATATATACATTCATATGACATACATATGTACATGCATATGTAACTTTTTGTTCAAAAATGTTTCATGTTGCTTTTAAATATTAAATAAAAAAAAAATTTAATTAAATCCGAACATATTGTTAGGTCTGTAAGAAGCGCGTAACGAAGTATAATTTTACTTTTTCCTGGCAGAAACAAAATTTTACAGGTGAAAATTCACCTGAACAAAATGTTTTCAAAAAATATGTACTGTACATACATATTTTGTGAAATTTTTGTTTGCTTATTTTTCATGGTAAACTTTTGTGTTTAGAAATACTAATTACTTTTTACATTGTTTGTACATTAACAAGCTGGCTCGGGTGATAAACCCATTAAATATGGGAATTCCACAGAAAACTATAGAGCTGTTGTCTCGTGAATTTTTCCAAAAATCGTATTTTAATAAAAGTTATCGGACAAGAAGAAACAGTGAAGCGCTTGATTCTTAGAAGAATACTTGACCTGTTGTTCACTGCTGACTTACTATTAAAATTGATAGCATTTGCTAAAGGTTCCGCTTATTTTAATCTGATCAAGGAATTTCAATATATTTCAACCTCTTTGGGGTGTTGGCTCTTTAAAGAAAACCATTGGTGATATGTAAAAAAGTATCTAAATTGGTAATATAACTATAATTATAATTATTGTAACGATCTACTAAAACAATATAACAGTTCACGATTTGGAAGTCAATTTAATTAATACCTTCAACATAACCATTAAAACCATCAAACCAATTCAAAAATCAGATTCAAATAAAATCTTAAACCATGATGATGCTGACTTTTCAGCAGTCTAATTAAAAAAACCAAAAGTGTTGGGACCTGGGACCCAATTCTATCAGAAATCATAAAACGGTTATGGTCACTCTGATGAATTAGCTGTGCTTTGTACATAGTGCCAACTGTAGTTCCGAATTGACAGCTATTTGGAAATGTTGCGTCTCTTTTCTTTGTTTTTCACAAAGTTATTTCCTACATTTTTCACTTTCCACTCCAGGTATAATTGTCAACTATATACATAGGTATTCCTGAGATTTGTGTCAGCTGTTCTCTCAGTCCACACACGCCCTAGATATTGAAGTATTGAATTGAATCTGTGGATTACGTTCAGGTGGCTGGATACTAGAGAAACGAAAAGGTAAACAACAAATTCCTGGCACAGTTTTTTAGTTACCTACCTATCTAGTGTCTTTAAAAACATCAAAAAATTAACGAAACTCAATTTCAAACCTTTGATACATGTTATACATGCTTCTTAAGCTTTTACATATAATTTTTAATACATTTTTCTTTTTAAACAAACAGTCAGACACCCGGGTATACTCATACTTTTCTGTTTTACGTATTCAAACAAAAAGCTTAATTTTTTTGTTATAGGTGCTGCGTATTCGCATATGTTTGTGTTATTTACAGTGCCTGATAAATTGTACTATTATTTAATAACTATGTTTAATGTATGTAATGTAATTTTTGTGTATCCAGCAGTTTTATAGTGATCAATCACAATCAGCACTGCAAGCACTTCGTTAATACCCTGAAAAATGAACGGCATGAGCAGCAATGAGGACTCTGTGGAGTGTCCTTTGTGTATGGAGCCACTTGAAGTAGATGATCTCACCTTCTTTCCATGTACCTGCGGATACCAGGTGTGTATAATACCTACTACATATGTACAAATTGA